GTCTCCTTTGTGGACTCATCATCCATTGCATGCCCCCTGACTGTGAGTGCACCTCCATGGTTCTGTCCTGGGCCAATTTGCCTTCTTTCTATCCTCTCTTGATGACCTCATCAGCTTCCGTAAGTTTATTTATGATCTTTCTGCTGATGACTCCCAGATCTGTAGTCCATTCAAGGGTATAGTGGTAAATGTGTAACAACTGGCTCTTGGGGGAGGGGGGGATTATGCACAACACATTTTTTAGGCTTAATCTCATTATTAACCTTTTCTCTTTTTACTCTCTTAAGTCTAGACAATCAACAAAACAAGGAAGCCCTGATCTGTAGTGTTTCTCAACTTCCAAGGTACAAATGCTCCCAGAAAATTTAACAATCAGTTTTCTCCAGCAGGTCCCAGTGTCTTTCCTGAACTCCAATACCACATCACCGACTGCCTGTGGGACATTTCAAACTGCACGTCCTGGAGACATCAAACTCAACAAGCCCAAAACATAACTTGTTCTCTTCCCTCCCTAATCCAACCCTTGATTGCATGTCTCCATTTGTACAGAGGACAGCACCATTCTCACAAGCTTTCAAGCTTCTAACTTCAGCGTGGTGCTTATCTCATCAACATTCCTCAGTCCACACAGCCAATCAGTCAATAAATCTGCCTTTTCTGGCACTGCTGCCTCTCTATTCACTGAGCCACTACCACAGCTTGAGTCCTCATCACCTCCTGCCTTTCATAATGGCCTCCTCCTTAGTTTCCCCACCTCAGGCTTCTCCCTACTCCCCGCAACTGCCAAAAAACACAGTTTGACCGTGCCACTCTAGGACTACTCACACAAGTTCAGTAGCTCAAATATCAACTCCTCTGTTTAGCTCTTAAACCCCTTCCCTTCCCACACTCTACAATTCTGCCAAACTGGCCCACATGTGGCAGCCAATCTCCATCTGTGCCCTAGCCCTGGCCTTCCCTCCTCAGACCCACTTCACAGAAACCTCAAGCACCCCCTTCTACATGAAGCCTTTTCTGATCCTCCCAACAGCAAGAGCCCCCAATTCTTTGTCTGTATTTTGTACTTATTCTATCTAGACATATCTGCACACGCTGTCTCCCCTGACATAACATAAGCTCCCTGGAAGCAGAGATGATGTCACTTTTTATTAGTTCCCCAGTGCCCAGTATGGTGCCTGACATCTATTAGACATTTAATGAAAGCTTTTGATTACCTGATTGATTGACACTTCCTGTATCCACAAGGTTTAAGCCTTCTATGGCACGTTCTATGGCACGTCCTCATATCTGCCCCTCTGCAATGGGAATGACAAAATCACAGAGGGTCAATTCCACCAGGTCTCCTTCTAACTCAAGCATGTTGGTGAGGCTCTGAGATCAGAGCCCTGAGAGTTGAATCGAGTCTTCCCACAAGGTCAAAGAATTAAAGTGGAACTAGAGACCAAGGACTGAAGGCATGGTATAAGGGAGCCAAACTGGTCCAACAAAGTCAGGCTAGAGCACAATGAATAATTGGCCATATGCAATCTATCTTTACTACCTTAAGCCTTCCAGCTCCTGGAAAAAACTAAACACTCAAAGGTCCTCTGGGCTAGTGGCATTCTGGAGAACAATTCTTATTGCCTTAATTCACAGGGGCAGAGGTACAGGCAGTCCACAATTTTCAGACATCCCCCAATTAAGATGGAAAAGTTTGCATCTGGATTGCATTTCCCATAGAACAATGTGAGCCCTTAGACCAGTTCAGAAAAACCTGAGTCAGGGGCTTTTGTAACAGGATAAAGTAGGAGGAGGTGAGGAGGCCAGAACTTCCACCTTCAATAAACCCTTGAAGGAAAAAGTTTTAGTCACAAGTTCCTTCTTTCATTCCCTTTCTTTTTTTTTTCCTCCCTTGGCCACAGAGAAAAACTCACCTGCTTCTCTTCCCACCACTACTGGATCCTTCCAGCTCTAAATCCCCTAACACTCTCAAGCATCACAAAGTGAATGATCATGAGAAGAGTCAAAGAGGAGGAAAAATTATACATCACAGCAAGAATACCCAAGATCAAAGGGGCCAGATGGGGAAGGTCTGAAAGGTACAGCTTTGGAAGTCTTTTCAGAAGAATGGTCAAATTCAGGACAAAACTCTCAAGCAGAATTAGGGAATATGAAAAATTGGGCTCTCCAATCTATGACTTCTATTTAGCAGAGCCTCTAATATAAAAAAAGTAGACTCTACTAAGAGGAAAACAAAACTAGCAAAAAGAAATGCATTATGCATACACAATCTCTGCATGCCAGATTTTCTAAGACCCTCCCTGGTTGGAGCTAAGCATTTCAACCATCCAAGAAGCATGAGTATGAAGAATGGAACTTGAGAGTGTGACGGAAACAGCTGGGGTGTCCTCTGTGATTGGAACATCTGGAGAGCACATGAGAGCACATCTGGTGCCTACGTGACCAAGCAGCTGGAGTGAGTTTGTAGGAACAGCTGCATCGGGTACCATTCCTGCTTGGCTCCGGGTGGGTGGGTGGAAAGCGCTACCTGTTCTGCAGAAGCCAATGCCAGGGTCACATGTCTTCTATGCGCCACAGAGACATACGTTGGGGTGGGGAGGGGGTGCACTGACAAATCCAAGTCCTATCCAACCACCCACCTTACAGATGATGCACTAGGAAACCCAGCATACTCACCAGGCTGAAGAGAGACAGATGCAACCTACCAGGAAAATTCTGGAAAATTTCATAATGCAATCAATACAACTTTCATAGTCTTTTGACTCCTTGGGTCCAGAAATTTAGGTTTTCTACCCAGTGGTCCTGATCACCACTATCCACAAAGGCATTGATGAGGGTACAGGGAAACAGGCCTCAGGTTATGCATAGCTGTGCAGTCAAGTGACTGCCTCCAGGGTATGAGTTAAAGGACATGGAAAAAGGCTTCTTCAGCCCCCAAATCTCTCTCCTATTCTGCCTGAAATTCTTCACTTCATTGCCAAACAAAATGAAATTTCGCTATTAAGGATTCATTTCTTTGAGTTAGAAAAGCAACCAATACTCTCAAGGTAAAGTAGCAGGGCGACGAGGTATCACGGTGCTAGGAGAGGAGTCTGGGTTCAAATCTGGCTTCAGACACTAGCTGTGTGGTCCTGAACAAGGCACTTAACCTCTGCCTGCTTCAGCTACCTCATCTGTAAAATAGGCATAATAATAGCATCCACACCCCAGGGCTGTTGTGAGGATAAAATGAGATGTTTGTAAAGTGCTTTATAAATGTTATCGATGTTATCAATCACTATCATCATCATTATTGTTTTTATTAAGTATAATAGAGCAGAAAAAGAAACACACTAAGCTAAGAGTTCTTAACCCTTGTCTGTGGTTAGGTTTCAGGGGGTCCATGAACTTGAATGGGGGAAAAAATTACGACCAATCTCTAACTGGATGTTAGCATTTCCTTCTATCATGATTTTAAAAAAATTACTCTGAGAAGGGGCACCAGATTTCTAAAGGGGTTCATGACTCAAAAAAAAAAAGCTTAAGAACTCTTTCACTAAACTATTATTAATGTAGCCAAGTTTTAGTCAACCAATCAGGACTAAGAGAATTCCTATTTTGCTGAGGAAGGGGAGGAAGTGGGGAAAAAAGAATAATTTTTCTGACATTCCATTATAGGCATCTAAATGAATCACATTATAGGCAGTGCCAGGGATAAAGGGAATGGGGCAGGCAGGGCACAGCAGGAAGTCCAAGATAAGCCACTCTATTCACTTCACAATTTTGCCCACCCCCGGCCCCTCTCATAGAGCCAGATTGGGGAAGAGTGAGGTACAGGGAAGGTGACTCACAGATCACACCCGTAGAACAGGGTCTTGTGGTCTGTTTTGGGGGGTGGGTCAGCATGGGCCTCAGTAGGTCCCAGTCCAAGCCCCTCTTTTTTATAATGAAAAAGTCCAAGCCCAGCCATGAGGTGACCTCGGGTCTTCTGGCTTCAAATCCAGTACCTCTGCCTAGATAAGCAGAAGGTGGGACGGACCAGCGTGTGCCATCCAAGTCTATGCCTCTCTGCAGCCAATGCTCCATCTCTCTCTGTGACCCCCTGGGGTCCCAGCCACGGACCCACCTACAGAGAAGCCTTGCTGATCGCCCCTAATTCGGCAGCCTCCTCTCCGGATCCCATTTGTGCCCAGCTGTTCAGTCCTGGCTTCTCCATTAGACTGTAAGCTCCTCGAGGGCAGGGGCTGTCTTCTGCCTCTTTTTGTATCCCTGTGCCTAGCACCCCGCCTGGCACACAGTAGCTGCTGAATAAATGTTGGCCGACTGCTCCCCAGAAGGCCCCCTGGGCCCGCCACTTACTAGCTCTGGGAACTTTCCTCGAAAACTCCGCTCGGGGTGAAATGTTCTACTTGCTTAGAGCTGGAAGCCAGCTTGGGGTCCATTCAGTCCAGCCTGCTTATTTTACAGAGGGGGAAACTGAGGCAAGGTCACCAACCCAGCAGGACTGGAACCCAGGTCTTCCGGGCTCAGAGGCCAGCCCTCATCAGGGTTCTCCTGACCCCTCCCCTCTCCCCCCCCATGACTTCCTTCCCCCCATCCCCCATGACCTTATTTTGATCACACTCATTATGTACCTGAGGTCTCTCCCCTTAGACTGTAAACTCCCTGAGAGGAGGAACTGTAAGCGGCCGAGAGCTGGGTGACCCTGGCCAGGTCGATTCCTCTCTGCCTCACTTTCCTCATCTGGTCTGTGTGCAGATCAGGGCCTAAACCCAAGCCAGACTGTCTCACACCTTTTACCCCCAGCTCGTGCTCCCCGCCCCCACCCCTAGCGCATGCTCCGCCCACTCTTCCCCCCCAGCGCGTGCTCCCCGCCCCCACCCCTAGCGCATACTCCGCCCACTTCTCTTCCAGCGCGTGCTCCCCTCTACACCGCCCCCTCCCAGCGCGTCCTCCTCAGCCGCCAGGGGCGGGGCGGGGGCGGGCAGAGGGCACGTGGCTCTCCCCGCGTCACGTGCTCGCTGCCGGAAGCCAGCCTGGCCGGGCCGGGAGAGCCGCTGCAGTGACGGCGTTCGGGTACGTCTGTCCGTCTCCCCCTCCCCCCTCGCTTTTCGCCTGCTCTCCTGGAGGGGTGGGGCTGCGCTAGGGGCCTCTCCTGGGCCCGGGCGGGGGGCACAGAGCGGGTAGACGGACAGACAGGCGCGCGGACCAGACACACGCGCTCACACAGACACAAACCAGGCAGACGCGCCCACGGACACAAGTAGAGAGACGCAGAGCCAGGGATGGTGCTCCAGGAGCGCGTTCTGAGGCTTTGGGAGAGGGGAAAGGGGCCAGGGGGCTGCTTCCTGGGAGGCCGGAGGCCGGGGCTCGTTGCTAGGCGCCCCGGGGGAGCGTCCGGAGCCCTCCCCCCTCCCCTGGGCGCTCCAGTCCGAAAACCTTTATTAATCGCGCTGCGGTGCCGAGGTGGGCCCCAAGCCGGCCTCTGCCCTCGTCCGGCTGACCGCGGGCTGCAGGAGCTCCAGGCTCGGGGCGCTGCAGACCAGAGTCGGACCAGGGTCAGGCAGGGCCCCTCCCCTCATCTCCTTCGACGGCAGAACCTCGTCCATCCTTTCTTTACCTTCCGTAGCAGCCGCCTTTTCCGATCGTCCCGCTGACCGCTAACGGCCTCCCTTCCTAATCACCTCGTATTTATTTGCCATTTATTCCGTATGCACTTATGCATGTATATTTTTCCCCCGATAAAACGTATGCTCCTTGAGGGCAGGGACCAGTTCACTTTTTGGTCATTGCATCCCCAGCACCTCTCACGGTGCCTGGCACTGTGAATGACTGGCTGATTGATGGTTTGAAAGGATTCATAAAAGAGGTGTCATTTAGGCAGTCCTGTCTCATAGTAACAGACTGACTTGGGAGTCCCAGGCTTCTCTTTCAGCCTGGCCTATGAACTTGTTCTATTTTACTTCCCCTCCCAGGGCTCTCATTTCCTGTTCTCAAAAATAACAGGGTTTTAGAAAATAAAATAACAGGTATTAAACTAGATGGTTTCTGAAGTCCCTTTCAGCTCTAACTTCTAGGGATGCATTGTAGGAGAGTAAGAAGCATTGGTGAGGAAGCATGGGTATTTGGAGAGAAAACACAGATCTCTCAATACAGAGAATACAAATGGGCTCTCTGGTCCATCATTCCTAATCAATCAGTTAATTTGTAGCTAAATACCTACCCCGTGCCTCCAAAATTTTAACCTATTAAAACTATACTAAGAGTTTTGGGACACCTCGTACATAGCGCTTTAAGATTTGCAAAGCACTTTACATATATTATCTCATTTGAACCTTACAGCAGTATGTAAAGCCCAGTTTTACAGGTGAGGAAACAAGAGAAGTTAAGTGACTTTCCCAGCCTCACTCAGGTAGTAAGGGCCAGAGGAAGGTAGAAGGCTTTAGCATCTTTAGAAGATAGGAAATACCAAAGAGCCAGGGATGGAACCCCAGATACCTGGAGGTGTTGTGATGCACATTGTTAGTTCCCACGTCAGTGAAATTAGGGGATCCCCAAAGTAAGAAAAAATTAAGGTGATACGGAGAGGCCAGGAGTCTGAAACGAAGCCCTCTGTTCTGGGGCTACTCATGAATTTGGGGGCTTTATGAATTTTAAGGATAGGAAGTGTGTTAACCACCCCTTCCTCCAACTCCAATCTGAGCAGCCTAGACTCAGTTGAATGTCTATGTCCAGAAGCATTGATGAGGCAATCAGGGGTCTATACTTGACAGGCCCCATTTGTCTATGCATCCCCTCCAGCCCCTGCTCCATTTTGTTTAGGCCTGAAATAGGGAGAATGAGAATACAACGCTGGTTTTCTTTTGTGTTATGTACACTCCTGGAGGGCAGGACCTTTTGTCTTTGTATCCCCAGTACCTCAAACAATGTCTACTGAATGATAGGCACTTAATAAAATGCTTATTGGTTAATCAGGGGATTGGTCAATGTGTTTGCAGCAACTGGCCTTCACCACCAGACTGAGATGACTGCCCTGCCTGTCCCAACAGTTTACTGAACTTCATCCTCCCTGGAGGACAGCTGCTATCCCCTTCAAGGTAAATTGACATCCACTTTGAAATCCTGCCCTAGAGGAATGAGCTTTTACCAGAGGTCAAACCTAACTGTGCTGGGGATATGGAGAGCAACCAGGCTAGCTTCCTTGTCCATCAGCAGCACCTCCTCACCCAGAGGAAAACCTCATTCTCAAGCCTTCAGGTCATGGCCAGTTTATGTCTATTGTCCCTGGTCCCTAGATATTTAGAGCCACTCATCACCAGGAGGCTGGCTTCCAGGTGATGTGTTGGGGGAGGGTTTTGGCCACAGCGACTCATGAAACCCATTCCAAAGGCAAAGAGTGACTGTCATTTGTGGCACACGGTGCCAGACATGGATTCGGGGAAGACCCGAGTTCAAAACCAGCCTCAGACACTTACTACCTGAGTGACCCTGGGTAAGTCACTCAACCGCTGTCCTCCTCAGTTGTCCCATCTGTAAAATGAGGCTACTAATAGCACCTCCCTTCCAGAGTTGTGGGATTAAATGAGAGAATATTTGTAAAGTGTTTTGCAAACCTTAAAGTGCTTTACAAATGTTACCTATTATTATTATACATGGCAGAGTAAATAATAATAATAATTAATAATATAATAAGATAGGGGCCAAGGAGAAGTCCAGACCAAGTGCTTTAGTAAAATTTTAATTTGGAGAAAACAGTTGCAGCTGGGGAAGTTCAAGGAAGTCTTTGTGAAGGAGGTATGTCAAAGCTGAGCCTTAAACGCAAAGGGGGATTCTGAAAGGCAATGATGAAAAGGGAGATGACATTCTTGGTACAGGGATGGACTGCACAAAAGGATGGAGGTGGGACGTGGCATGTACACTGTGTGGAAGAGATAGTCCAGTTTGGCTAGAATATGGCCTAAAGGGTGGCAGGCTGTGTTTGGCATCAGAAAAACAAAAATTTAAATCCTGCCTCATATACTTAATAGCATTTTGACCTTGGGCAAATCACTTAATGTTTCTGTGCCTCAGTTTCCTCTTCTTTAAAATGAAGGAGTTGGACATGATGGCCTCCAAGGTCCCTTCCTATGGTGGAAGTAGGATAATGGTATGGAAAAAGACAAGAATGGCCCAGAATGACAGTGGGAAGGAGCCCAAGAAGCCCTCCCTCTCAACCTTTACTTTGCCAGGAATCCCCGAGGTCACATTGCATTGAGCCAGATTCTAGTGGGCTTTCGGTGCCAGGCTAACGAGTTGATTTTGTGCTGATTATATGCCAGCATTGTGTGTGCTAGGCTGAGGATGCAAGGACAAAGAATGGAATAAGTCTTCCTCACCAGGAGCTACTGGGTAGATGGGTACATGGACTAATGCATGCAACCTGAACATGAAGAGGAGAAACACCAGATGTGTGCAGGGTTATCCAGTCCAGAGTCATTTGGGAGGGCAGGAGGGAGATCAGGAAACGTTCCTTGCAGAAGATGGAAGCGAGGGGCTCTCAAGCAAAGATGGGGTGTATTCTAGGCATATGAGACAGCATGGAGGAGTGCGTAGACAGCTGACTTTAGAGGAGGGAAGATCTGTATTCAAATTCCACCTGTGACGGTGGGCAATGCATTAGGCATTTACCTGCTCAGTGTTGTCAGAGAGGCAGCACATGCTGATTGCTGCTGGTAAAGGAAGTTTCTCAGCAGAAACTGAGATTTCATCACTACCATGATAAAACCACTCGTCCAGTTTTTTAAAAAAGCAGGTAATAGGGAGCGATTGACATTTTGAACGGTGCAGTGACTTGGTCAGATGTGTGCATTTGGGAGATGATTTAGGCAGCTCTAGGAAAGATGGGTTGATTTGGAGCAACTGATTTTTATTTTCTTGTGGGTTTTTTAGTTTAGCTTTTTTTTTCTTCTTTACCTTTCTATATGTTGTTTTATAAAAGGTCTTTCTGAATGCTAATGTTGTGTTAGCGGAGGTGGGTTACAAAGATAAATAAGATGACACTCACGTGGATTATTTCAGTGAATTTGCAGGATCTCACTTGCTTGCTCTCTATCTTCATTTAAATTTGGTGCTGCCTGGAGGCAAGGGATGGACTGGGTGATTTCTCCCAGTCCCTTCCAGTTTTGGAATCTCTGATTCTCTAGAGGGCTGCCTGAGGCCTAGGCTCTCCCCTTTCTTTCTTGTGCTCCATATTTGTGGCTTTTTTTACTCTGGGTTGGGGTGGGATCTCGTCTTCACAAAGTGACTAGACCCTCCTCTCACCAGCTGTCTTCCAGGCATGAGCTGTCCAGGAGGGCAGTCATGGTGAGATCCTGACCTTTCTCTCTCCCTGCCAGATGAAGTGTGTGCTGGTGGCCACGGAGGGGGCCGAGGTCCTATTCTACTGGACCGACAAGGAGTTCGAAGATAGTCTCTGGCAGAAGTTTGGGCTGTCAGAAAACAAGGAAGGAGAGGTAAGAAACAGGGATGGTCAAACGGCCAGCCACGACAAGAGGCCCTCAGTCTTCCTCCAGGCTTAGCACAGACAGAGTCATTTCCTGTGGCATCCCCCCTTCTTCTCCCGAGTGTGTAACCAAGGTCTCCTCTGGAGACAGTGCAGGATATCTGCAAGTACATTGGATTTCCTTTCTGCAGATCTTGGCTTAAGAAGTAGACCTCTTCCACCAGATACCTGTGTGACTTTGGACAAGTTGCTTAAACTCTCTTCTGTCTTTAGAGATGAGTTTTCTCATCTCTAAAATGGACATATTAAAATTTTCCTTCAATTTCCTCATCTCTACAGTGGGCATAATAAAAATCACACTACCTACCTAACTGCTGGGTGACTCATCGGATTGATTCCAGGCCCAGGGAGACCTGAGTTCAAATCTGGCCTCAGACACTTCCTAGCTGTGTGACCCTGGGCAAGTCACTTAACCACCCGTCTGCCTCAGTTTCTTCATCTATCAGGAGATAATAATAGCTCCTCCTTCTCAGGGTTGTTGTGAGGATCAAATGAGATAACATTTGTAAAGGCTTAACACAGTGCTTGGCACACGATAGGTATTTAATAAATGCTTACTCCCTTCCCTGTCAAGGTTGTAGTCAGGGAAGCTATGTGGTGCTATGGCTAGAACTCTTGACCTGGAGTTAGGAAGACCTGTATTCAAATCCAACCTCAGGCACTTTCTAGCTGTGTGACCCTGGTCAAGTCACTTAACCTCTCTTTGTCTCAGTTTCCTCATATGTAAAATGGGGTTAATAATGGCATCAACCTCCTGGGGTGGTTGTTAGGATAAAATGAGGTAATTTTTGTAAAGTGCTATATGAGTGCTAATGATTATTATTAATCCTTATAATAATATAGAAACATGCACTATTCTCTTTCAGCCTTTTCCTGCAATATCTCATACCACCGTCCTTAGAAAGGACCAGGATTCTATTGGAATTGAAACAACTTAAATCACTAATCAGGCCATGATGATTCCTACTTAATCAGTTTTTTTTTTTTTTTTTGTTACCAAAAAACGGTATATCTTTGTTGTCACGTTTAAGCTCTCATCTTCACAGCTGAGAAAACCAAAGGCTTCATTGATAGACAGTGCACTTATACAAGTTAAAGCAAGAGTTTATTTTGGAGTCTTTTTCCTATAAATTTTGAAGCTGCATTGAAAAAAACTAAATGATTTAGCATATCTCATGTGCCAAAGCCAACTGAAAGAGCTGTTCATAAAAGTCACTGGGAGATGAATAATCTCCACTTCAAAAAATTAATTATGGATATCTGGGGCATTTTTGCCAGGATGTTTGGTACAGTCCCCTTCATCAAATGCTTTATTTAACTTAAACAAATTATTTTAATTATGAATTTTTCAGTAGCTAACACATAATTATTTAATAAGACATTTTACATCTTAGTTTTAAGGATAAAATGCAGAGATTTGTTGTGGTGGTGTTGTTGTTTTACTACAACTACTACTAGGATGTTTTACATCCTAGTCAATATAAGCACCAAGAGGGCAGGGACTATCTTGGCGTTTCCATTTATGTCCCCAGTACATCACAGGCAATTAATGATTGGTTGATTGTTTTTGTTTTGTTTTGTTTTCAACAAAGTAGCAAATATAAAGAGCATATTAGAGGTACATAGACCTGGGTTCTAATTCTGCTTGTCCCCATGTTAGTTGTTTAACCTTGGACAAATTAATTCACCACTCAGAGCCTCAGTTTCATGGTATATGAAATAGGAATAATAATAATAATGGGATTATGTACTTCACAGTATTAATGTAGGGGCAAATGAAAAAATATGTTTGTCTAGTGCTTTTTAAACTGTAAAGAAATATGTAACTGTCAGCTGTTGCTTTCAGCAAAGGCAGTATAAATTTAAAATATTGGTTTATTTCTTCCTCTCCTCATTTACTTGCAGGCTAAAAATAAAACAGACTTTCCTGCATTTTCAATTTCCAAATGACTTTTCTATTTAGAATAAAATAGTCTAAGAAGAGAAAACATTAGACTTTAGTAACTTAAAATTGCACTAAGACATTTGGGATGCCCTCTTTGTATATATATATATATATATGTGTATATACACACACGCACATTTATTGTAGTTGGTATTACAGAGGTTTTAAGGGAGATGGGAATAGCCATTGAGCCTATACGCATTGGGAACTCCCAGGTGAGGAAACTTTCTCTACCAATACAGATTAGCAGCTCCAATGCAACTCAGAATCTTGGAGAGTTGCCTAGACTATTCAGGATTTTGCCCAGTCACACAGCCATTCATTGTCAGTGGTGGGACTTGAACTCAGGTCTTTGTGACGAGATTTCTTTCTCCCATACCTCAAATGCCCCTCAGTTATTGTTATTAAGAGTATTATTGTTGCATGCTTACACCTCTCACCAATTCTTCTGTTGCGTCTGGGTACACATTCTGCTACTGAACACAAAGAACCTGTCAAGACAGTCAGTTGGCAATAAGTAGTGCCTGCTCCATTTGCGTTTTTAATGCCCGTAAATTATCTCTGCCACTGCACATTTCTCTGTCCAAGGCAAGGCTTTGTTCTATTCCATGTCGGCCTGTCATTTGTGGGCATCAGGAGAGTCCAAGTGTGCTCTGCGCTTCTTCTCAGGGAGAATGTTGAGAACTTCCCCAGTGGGTTCAACTCAGGCCAGTTTTTCACCAAACCACCCACTAGCCCTCCAGTGAATCAGGGGAGACATCGTTGGCTCCTCTTGCTTTTTCTGTGCCTGTGGCAGCAGAATTGCTGCATGCACTTCCCCTCCTCTGATGGAGGGGGATGATAAGCTGCAGGGGGGATGCTCTCTTGGGCTCACCCGAGGTGCTTTAGGGTCCCTGAAACCTAACATGCCCAGGTTCTGCTGCTGGGTTTTTAAAGTACGATAGTATGTGTTTGACTGCATGCGGTTAGGAGACCAATAGAGAGGGGCCCAGGCTATTTTAGAAACTACACCAAATGGTACAAAATAGCTACACAATCCAACTTGGAAGACAGACTCTTCCTTGCTTCCTTACTCAACCTGGATAAACCTCTAGTGTCTTCTCTCACTAAGGGACCCTTCGATTGACTCCTGAGGTAATTATAGTTTTGCTTTCAAATACATTCCTTTGTCCGCTGAGAAGTCTCAGTCCAAGTTTTTTCTACTTAAATCTCTCTCCCTCTCTTCCTCTCCTCCTGTCTCCCTCTCCCTTCTTTTCTCTCTCATCCTCTCCTCTTTTTCCACCTTCCTCCATCCCCCCCCTTCCCCATCTCTCTTATCTGTCTCTTAGTCTATCTCTGGCTTTCTGTCTATCTGTCTCTCCTTCAACCCCCCATCTCTGTCTCTCTGTGTGTCTCTCTCTCTGTCTGTCTCTCTATTTGTGTGTGTCTCTCTCTTTCTGTCTTTCTCTCTCTCTCTCTCCCTCCCCCCATTCTTCCATTACTGCTTCTCAGGCTTTTCTTCCTCAAAGTAAAAGATTTTGCCCAGATCTCCCACATCCTCACTATGACCGAAATGATTCAACAACAACCACAGCCCCATCCCCAGTAAAGTTCAATATGTTTGCTTTCTTGACACTTTAAACTTTTAGAGAAAGAAAGGGGTTTGATTTAACAAGTTCCAAAGAAACTCTAGGACTTGTTATTTCTTATTCCGACGAATTGGTATTGAAGTTAATAAGCATGTTATTTGTACAGATCGATTACAGACCCGTTGATTTAGAGTAGAAAGCCTTAGTGATCATCTAGTCCTACCCCTCCTTTTGTAATTGAAGAAACTGAAGCCCAGGGAGGTTAAGTGATTTGCCCAATGTCACACAGGTAGTAAGTGCCAAAGGCTGGATTGGAACCCAGGTCTGGATTGGAACCAGTGATGTTTCTACTGCACCACTGATTAATGGCAGAGCTAGGGAATGAACCTATGTCTCCTGACTCCTTTGCCAGCCTTCTTTCCTACTCTCCCGCACTGCCTTGTGGGATCTCCTGCACTGGCTGACCTTGCTTCTCATTGGATAGAGTGACCTTTCATAATCATTCTGTATAATCCATAGAAGAGCTCCTGGAAACCCCCTATAAAATCCCTGATATGGTCCTTCTTGTGACCTTCTCTAAAGTTACAAGATGATGGTAAGATCTCAAATACTGTAGAATTAAAAGATGTAATCCCAATTTCATGACAGTATCTTGATTTTTAAAATGTTAAATTGAAATTCAATATATAGAATTTTTTAAAAGACTATAAAAATCCAATTGTGATTTTTTTGTCTACCCTGTTGAGGAGACCTATAGTAAGAGGCACTGTGGTATAATCATTAAAAGTGCTGGGAGTGGAACCAGAAGGACTGGACACAAATCTGGCCTTAGACACTATAACCCTGGTCAAGTCATTTAACCTCTCTCAGCCTGAGTTTCCTCATCTATAAAATGAGGATGATAATAATAATAGCATCTACTTCATAGGGTTATTGTAAGGATCAAATGAGATAATGTATGTGAAATTCTCTGCAAACCTTAAAGCACTATAAAAACGTGAGCTATTATTGTTATCATTAACCAGTTAATGCTGATGAGCCACCCTGTTTCATCTTCAAAAAGAAGAATTTAAGTCTTGGTCTTAGTGTCATATACTTAGATCTGGAAGGGACCTCAGAACTCACCTCATTATACAAGAGGGGAGAGTGGAGCCATGAGAGGTGAAAGGACTTGTCTAGGGCCACAAAGGTCCATAAATAGCATGGGGAGGATTTAAACCCTAATGCGGTGCCCTTCCCAGGGCACCAGCCCTCCTCTAGAAGGCTGGGGATGTTCCTTTGAGGGATCATTTACTATAGTAAGCTACAGAGATAAAATGCAGCTAGCAGTTGGCATGCATTTCTGACTGCTCTCCTCCTTGTCTGCCCTTCAGCTCCCTGCTCTGGAGGACCGCCTCAGCACGCTTTTTGCTCCTGTGATCATCTCCTGTACAACGATGCTAGAGAAGCTCTCAGACACCTACACCTGCTTCTTGGCTGAGAAAAGCAATCATCTGTATGTCCTTCACTTGGTAAGCAGGTTGCCCAAGGCCTCCCCGCCATGGATATAGATGTCCTCTATGTAAGCCCCCAGAGGGAAGAGACTGTACCTTAGAGGCGCACTGCAGGGGGCTGACACCCAGAAAGGGACATCTAAGTGCCTGTTGATGGTGCTGAGGAAGGACGGGGTGGTGGCTCAGGCTTAATAGGGGAGAGGTACTCTTCGGTATTAGCCCTTCAGGAATCAATCAACAAGAATTTATTAATCACCTACTCTGTGCTTGGCACTATATTAGACACTGGGCTACCAGTTAGTCAACCAAACAATTAGCAGTTGCTTACTATATATGCTAAGCACTAATTGCCTTCTATATACCAGGCACTGTGCTACAACATGCATTTATTAAGCACTCACTACGTGCCAGGCATGTGCCCTGTGCTGAGCCCTTGCCCTCAAGAGGTTTACATTCTAATGGGGGGAAAGTAGATTGAGAAGAGATGAGGGAGGGTCTTTCAGAGTCTTAATTCGCTTGACTGTGCTTACAGTTTGGTGAATGCCTATTTATCGCCATCAATGGTGATGGCACAGAGAGTGAGGATGACCTGCGCCGGAAGGTGTATGTACTGAAGCATCTGTTTGAGATGCACTTTGGACTGGTCGCCCTGGACAGTCATCTCATCCGGAAAGAGTGAGTCTCCCATGTAGGGGTATGGGTGTGGTTTGGAGACAGGGCAGTTCAGTGATGTGAATACCCAATAAGGAAGCACCCTCCACCAATATATGTCTGCAGCTGTTCTGTTTGTGGTCTCCATGGGTCGCCTGAAATGCTGAGCACTTAAGTGACTTTCCCAGAGTCTCATAGAGACCAGAACTGAACCCAGTTGTTCCTGACTCTGAGGCCAATTCTATGTCCAGATGGGCATATTACCTCTCAAATCTCTTAGACCAAATTAAAGCCAAATGGAGTCAACTCTCTGCAAGGCTTCTGAGCAGCTATTATCCATATCCTCTTTGCCCTGGCCCTGGTCCCTTGATCTGGTTTTCCCAATCATTCCAAGGTATAGAGTCAGAGCCTGGACATGGAATTTGTGGGGCATTGGACTAACCCCTAGGAAAGGAAAAGTGACTCTAATTCTACATCTTAAAAAAATAGACATGTTACTATCCATCAGAGGCATCTGGTGACTTGATGTGTTGTGGACGACAGAATTTTATGGCATTAATGTGTGCATTTATAAGAAGTTATATTTTTAGAAGGGTTTCTTGTGGTGCCCAGCTCTGGATGTGGTGCTCTGGGCACCTCGCTGTTCACCTTGCCTGTCCCAGGATCCAGCTCTTCCACACGGAGCCCCTTACCCAACTGGTGCTCTTTGGATTCCCAAAGACAGGTAGCTGTTCAGAGCAGATTCTCTTCTGGGCTTTGTACTCACAGAGGGTGTGGTCTCCAAAGTATCCTCCAGCTCCACATCTTCTTATTCTGTGAATGATTGCTCAAACAGAGTCTTCCAAGATTGTAGTATAGCAGTGGGGAAGCAGCCTCTGGTTTACTTGGATCCTGAAGAGGAGGAAGACAATAGTGTGTCCACACTTAGGAATGAGGGTTGGAGAAACTAGATCCTTTTTCATTTGCCGTAAGAGGAAATGATAAGTAAATGACCTGGGATCATAGGCTGTTAGAAGAGCTTTAAGAGACCTTACAGATGACCTAGAGCAGGGGCTCCTCACCATTTTTTGTGTCCTGGACGCCTTTGGCAGCCTGGGGAAGCCTACGGACCCCTTCTCAAAATGATGCAAAGAACAAAATACCTAGGATTATCGGTTTTTAAATGCATAAAACAAATTACATAAGATCACAAGAGAAACCAATTATATTGAAATATAGTTTTCAGAATACTTTCAAAACAAATTCATGAACCCCAGTTTAAGAAGTCCTAATGTACTACAATCTATCCTGAAGGCCAGGGATGCCGAGGTCCCACAGTCAATCAGCAGCAGAGCTGGGGCTAGAAGGCAGATCTCCTGACCTTCAATTCTTACTCTTTCCTCCTTCCCAAGCTGCCTCCTCATAGGCCTGTGCCCCACAGATGATCTCTGAGTCTAGTGGCCAATGGTGCACGCAGCCAGCTCGGTGTCCTCAGTGTCCTAATCAGGGAAGTGGGATTCAGAGGCAGCTGCTGCACTGGGCCCTGCCGCATGCCACTCACTCTCGATGGATAGGGTACCTGTACTTTAAAGGTGTTTTTATGCCAGCCCCCCTCCCCTGAGCCCAGCACAGTGCCTGGCACAGAGAAGCATATAACCTCTGCTTATTAAGTCAAACTGAATTCAGGAAGAGCATTAGCAACTGTTGGCTAGACAGCTTCTAAGAGCAGAGTTTCTTACCCTCTTTTGTGTTAAGGCCTCAGGTCTCCCACAGCCTTCAGCCACTGAATTGACACGTAGAATTTGTTTCAATTTTATTTTGTCTTGGTAAGAGCAAACCCTGATCCTGTCCTTTCTTTCATCTAACTGGCATAAGGAGCTCTTGGTGTGGAAACTCCTTTCATTGATGCAGATCACAACTAGTTTGCAACTGATAGTCTTTGAGCAAGAGTTTGTGTCTGGCGAAGCCTGTGGACCCCTTTTCAGAATGTTTTTAAATGCATACAATAAAATACATTTCATGGCAAAAGAAACAAATTATATTGAAATATAGTTATCAAAATATTTTTTAAAAAGACAAATCTACGGACCCCGGGTTAAGAACCTACCTAGACAAAGAAAGCAGGTGTATGGGGGGGGGGACATACAGAAGGTGAGGGAGGGGGAAGATAGAGAGATTGAACAAGCCTGGATGTCTCTCTATATAGGCTTCACATCTGTGTGCATTTGTTTACTTGGGGAGCTCAAGGCATGCCCCTCCCTACTGATTGTGCTGTGTCCTTGTTACTGTCTTATATCTCATTATTTCTTTCTCTGCTGAGATGGGCCTGGGGGTTAAGGAAAGGTAAGCAGGGTAGATTTTCCCTTTACTTACTGAATGGGTGTGGTCATTTAGGATTCGGGGTTTGGTTGGGCTTGGAGCTAACCTGGTTCCCTCCTATCATCCCTTGACCCATTTCTAGGCTCCGGCCCTCAGACCTTCAGAAGCGCACCCAAGTGTGGGCCCTCTTCCAGAGCCTGCTCCATACATACAGCCGCCTACGAGACCAAGAGCAGAGCTTTGTGGTAGAGGTAACTTCTGTGGGGCTCTGAGGTAAGGGTGGGGGAAGCAGGGAACCCTGCTCTGAACTTTCTGTGCTATGAGATTCTATTCAATCCCCACCCAAGGAGAGATTGTTGTCTGGCTGGAGCAAGGAGCATTGATGGTCCTGAAAATTGGTAGAAATCTCCAATCTGAATTCTCTTTCAGTGAGTGATGAACCCTGGATCAGTGAATTCCTAGGAAAGATGGCAACCTCTGGATTATAAGATCATTGATTTAGAATTGTAGGGGTCTTAGAGGCCATAGAGTTCAATCGCCTCTTTTTACAGATGGAGAAACTAAGGCAAGGGGAGGTCAAGAAACTCACCCAGAGTCCACCGCTACTGAGTGTCTGAGGCAAGACTCAGACACATGTCTTTCTGACTCGAGATAGAGTGTTGATCTGCCAGCTTTCCCATCCTTATTAAACGTTCATGTGTCTGTGCCAGGTAGTAGCTGCACTTTCCATAGGAGGTGGTTTTCTTCAGAGTTTCCCAAGCCAAGCCAGGGCCCTAAAGTCCATATCAGACTTCCAAATTTCCAGTGTTCTCTGTTTTGTTGTTCTTCCTGAAGCTGGATACCTGCAGTTGGGCCTGGGTTTCTGAAGTAGGCTTGTGGTGGGGCACTCTTATGCCTTCACCATGAGGGCTGCTCTCACTCACCCACCGTGTCATGTCGGTTGCATGGGATGATCAGTGTCATGTCTTGGTGTTTTCTTTACCTGTACATCCCTCTACTTGGGTAGGCTGTTGAGAGGCTAATCCACCCCCAGCTCTGTGAACTGTGTATTGAGGCCCTGGAAGAACATGTCGTTCACCACATCAATACCCGCTCTGACAATGGTGGTGAAGAGGTCCTCCATGCCTTCCTACTTGTCCGCACCAAGCTGCTGGCCTTCTACTCCACGTGAGTCCTATGACTCTGTACTGATACAGAGATAGACCTGCACCTTGGTTTTAGGTGGGAGGTCCCTACCACCCCCCCCCCCCCCCCCTCATGACTTCCTCCACTCCCGCCCAGTTCTTGAGAGCCTGGATCCATGTAGCCTTTCCTGATGGCTGTCACTGCTGGCTTCCTTCTTGCCAGCTTGCATTTCAGTCCTTGGCTGGGGTCTTGGGTCCTATTCATTGTGTCACCTGTGAAAGTCCTCATCTTCCCAGTAAAAGACTCACGGAATTTGAGGGGTTGGAAGGCACCTCAGAAGCCATCTTGTCCTACCCAAACACAAAAGGGATTCCTGCTGTAACATGTGCAACAAAGGGGTTAGGAGAGGTCATCCAGCCTTCTCTTAAAGACCTCCAAGGAAGAAGAACCCACTGCCTTTCAGGGAATCCCATTCCTCTTTGGGACAGTTCTTATTTTTAACTAAGTTTGAATGAATTAAGTAGCATCTCAAAGTTGTCCAAAAATATTTTCATATACTATCTCAATTGAATCTCACAAAAATCCCATGAGGTAGCTGTTAGAGGTTTTTATTACTCCCATCTTATAAATGAGGAAACTGAGGCTCAAGTGGATAAGTGACTTGCCCAGGATCTCACAGCTAGTGTTGGAGATAGTTTGAACCCATATCTTCTTGGTTGCAAGCCTAGTGCTCTATCTGTTCCTCCACCATGACTCACAGAAAAATCATGAGCTCTTTGAAGACATGGCCATGTCTTATACTGATTTTATGATATGCCCTGAAGTTTGTTTTTATATTTTTAATCTTCATATTTACTAGCCACGGCAGTCCTATCTTCTTCTCAGTCTCAGTGCAGGTGACATTGTCCAGGACATAGCCCACCCTGGGCTTCCATCCTGTACTTTGCTTAGTGTTGTCCATACCTACCCATCCATGGAACTCCCTGGCACTCAGTCCATGAACCATTTGGAAAAGAAAGGAGACTTTCATAACTTGTTGACTCTTTGCCTGTGTCTACAGCCATCACGCTAGTCCCCTGCGCTCAGCAGATCTTCTCTCCATCCTTCTCATGGTTCAAGACCTGTATCCCAGTGACAGCTCAGTGGAAGAGAACAGCATTCAGGTTGCCAGTCTACTCCCTGGGTTCTAGCTCTTACCGTGGGTTATTGAACAGAAAATTGGCATGGGGGTGGGGAAGAGAGGGGCGTTACTGGGTGCACGGGGGATGGGTCATGGAGTGAAGGGGGACGGGAGGAGTGCATAACCCTCTGCTCTCTGTAGGCCTGCCTGGGTACATGAAGTGCTGGAAAGAATGATGCAGAGGCCAGGCATATTCCCATGGAACAGACTTCTACTCAGCTTATCCACCAACTTCTGTCTCAATTTCCTTAGGCTTCCCAAGGAAAGACATCTCAGCAGAGACCCAGCAACAGCCAGAACATTCCTGTGCAGCGGATGAGAAGCCCTGGCCCACATTCACCAGCTACGAGTAGTTCAGAGGAGACGGTGGGTGCAGTGGGTGTGGGGTGCCTCTCTGGAGAATCAGAGCCCCCTTGGGACAAAGCATCTGTTTCCAGCTACTCTCACCTATCATAAACTTCCACCCTTTAGAAGACAGCAAGGCAGCCTTGGGCTAAGCTGGGTGATGCATGCCCATAACGCCTGCTTCTGGGGAGCTTAAGGCTGGTGGGTCTCTTGAGTTTGGAAGTCCTGAGCTACACAGAACTGTGCCAGTTGGGCATCTGCAGTAGCTAAGGTCAACATTAACATGGTGAGCCCCCAGGTTGTTTAGGGAGGGGCGAACCAGCCCAGGTCACAAAAGGAGCAGGTCAAAGCTTCAAAGCCAAGGGGCAACTAGGTGGCGAAGTAAATAGAGCACTGGCCCTGTAGCCAGGAGGACCTGAGTTCAAATCCAGCCTCAGACACATAACCCTCACTAGCTGTGTGATTCTGGCCAAGTCACTTAACCCCAAGTGCCTCACAAAAAAAAAAAAGCTTCCATGCCAGTCAATAGTGGGGTTGGGCCCATAAATGGCTGCTATACCTCCAGCCTGGGCAAGATAGTGTCAGGCTGAAAAAGAGTCTTAGAAGCTCCCAGGTGAGAGCCATCTGGAGGAACCTACTGTTTCTGAGCTCTTACTCCCTCCTTTTTTTGTTGCAGGAGATAGACAGTCTTTCAGTGGTGGAGGAATACTACACTCCAGCACCCTCCCCTGGTGGACAGAGCTCAGGTAAGACCTGGAGCCACGGGGAGAGAAAGGAAACTGAAAGTCCACTTGTGGAACCAGAGTGAGGAAGTGCCAGGTTTAGACCCTTGAAGGCGCTCAGCTCATACTCTGAAACTTCCAGATGCCTGGTGCGAGTGCATGCGCACACACACAGACACACACAGACATGCACACGCTGTCCCTGCAGTGGAGTAACAAAGAGAACAGAAATGGAGAGGTGTACCACACACCTTCAGATGCCCTCGGCCCTTCCTCCAAATTGTAACAACCCCTTCAGTGAAGGGGAGAGAGGCAGCATAGTGTGATAGTGGGGAAAGCCTTGAACTGGGAGTCTGGACACTTGGGTTTGAATCCCAGCCCTGTCAGAAATGCTCTCTCTGATGCTGGGCAAACTGCTTCCATTCTCCAAGCCTCAGTGTCCTCAGGAACACTGAAAGGAAAGGATTGGACGACCTGGTCTCTAAAATCTCTTATGGCTTTAAATTTGTGTGATTGGCTGGTCTTTCCTATAAAAACAACTTACCATCATGTTGACTACACAATAAATAGACTGTCATGTAGCAATTATATAACATTTCAAGGTTGGCAAGGCGCTTTTTAAACATCTCATTTTATCCTCAGCAACTCCAGAAGTGGGTGCTATTATCATACCCATTTTACGGATAAACTGAGACTGATAGAGATTAATTGACTTGCCCACTCATCATACAGCTGGCAGTATCTGAGGCAGTATTCGAAGAAGAGCCTCGGGTCTTTTGGCCCCAGCAACCCTCTCTCTGCTGCGCCGCCTAACCGTAGATAACGACATACCAATATTACTTGCTTCATGGGATTGTGGTGAAGAAAGTGTGCTTTTCAAACCCTAGAGTACTCTATAAATTCATAGAGAATGAATGAAGGGCACAGGCACAAGTAGGAGGGTTGGTCTCAGCCGGGGAAAAGCCCTTTCACCATCAGAGGCTGAAGCAAAGGATGAGAGAATGTAGAGGCATTTTAAGGCATAAAACAGGAAAAAGAATAAGCTCACAACATATGGCCTCTGTTTTCCTCAGTAAAGGTGGAGATGAGGTCTTCTGCAATGAGTGCCCAATAAGCCATTTTACGGGATATGATGTCTCCAACTTAGAGAGGAATTATTTCCAAAAGTTCACATGTCAGTCATGTGAAAGCACATGTTTCCCCCTAGACACCCTGTTGTACATGGTAGTTATAAGCAGTGAAAATAATAGAGAACTGTGCTATGGCAAATACACAGCCAGTTACTTTTGATGCTTTGTTCAATTACAATCTTTATTAAATAGATTTTTGCAAGCTGGCTTGTGACCTGAACCATATACAACATTGAATGGAAAAATTCCTTCTGTAGTGAATATAAAGTTGCTGGAAACATCTACGTCATCTCTGCCCTCACAGCCACTGAGTGAATTGTGGGTAAAAGGATGAGAGAGGGGCCGAAGAAGGTCAAGAGCTATTGGGAAGGGATTCCAAGGAATTTTGGTGGAGGAGCAGGTGTATGTGTGGAAAGTGAGGGGGAGTGCAGATGATAGAGGAGCTGCGTTCCTGCTCAGAGCCCTCAGACTGCAGGGCCTTTACAGGACTTCTATCACCCAGGTCTCTGCATGAGCTGCGTTTTGGGTCTCAGCTAAGAGTCTCCTCCCTATAGAAGGGAGCATGATAGCTCTGAGGACATGTTTTCCTTTCTGTCGCACCCCCAAGTACTTTTGTTGTGGTGACATACAGTGAGCAGGGAGCAAGAAGGAAATATGGTCACTCAGAAAATGGCCTGGATTCCGGGAATTCCCTCTGTACACTTGAGTGTGAACTTTCTGATAATGGGCTAGGACCGCCCTCTCAAGAGCCCCAAGAGCAGGACGGCCTTTTCGGCCTGTTTGTGCTGGGGCCTCTTTGCCTCTGCCTGATGCTGTAGTTGTTGCCCTCGCCAGCAAATCTCTCTCTGCTCCAGTAATTGTCATTCTATGCGGGGCGTCTGAGCTCTCTTCTTGGGGATGGGGCAGACAACATACAAATCCTTTGTAACTTTTACAGGAAGTGCCATCTGGCTGGAGGGTGGAACTCCACCAGTTGGTGAGGACGCCGATGCTGCCTTTGTCCAGGTGAGTTCCTCTTGGGGGATAAATGGACTTAGCCTGGGACTTCAGTCCGAGCCTCCTGTGGCATAAGGGGTGGAGAGAGAAGTCGAGCTGTCCGTTTAGAATCATAGGCTTCAGAAGGTCAGAGAAGGAAGGACTTTCGAGATCTTTGAGTCCAATCCATTTTATGGATTTAAAAAAAAACCAAACCCAGAGGATCAGAAAGGTGAGATGTCTTACTTATGAATGGCAGAGGTGGGCAAGATTCCTGGTCTTTGGGGACAGACTTGGGATATAGACTTTTGTACTGAGGGAGACTCCCTCCCTTCTTTCCCCTGCAGAATGCCCGGTCTTCCTCTTTTAACAGGGTGCACGCATTTTCAAAGTCCAGTCCCTCAGGGTCTGCGGATGAGAAGTGTAGACTTAGGGCAGATCCCTCTCCGAAGCCTGGCTCGTTCTGGCAGAACACTAGCAACAGTTTCTTCACAGAACTGTATAGTAGGTGGTAGAGCACTGGACTTGAGCACTAGATTACCGGGCTTCAAATCCCAGCTCACGTACTTAACTAGCTGTGCAACCCTTGGCAAATCACTCAATCTCTCTGAGCCTCCATCTCCTCATTTATAAAACGAGAGGGCTGGGTAAGGGTGCTTCCAGCCCCAAATCTTTTGAATCTATGATATTCATACGATGAATTCATTGTTCCCAAGAGCCAGGGGACAGTTGGGGCATGCTTTCTCAGATTGTCTTTAACAGATATCAAATACGTTCCATCAAGAGCTGAGGTTCAGTGTGGCCTCTCGGTTCAAGCCCGTCCACTAGTCGTGATCACATATTCTCTTTGTGCCTTAGTTTCCCCACTTGCACAATTAGTTGGTTTTTGAGATACTGAAGAACTGAGAGAACAGCCTGGGACTATGTAACTTTAAATATTCTAATTTTAAAATTAAGTACTTAATTTTAAGTTATTTTAATGTTCTGGAGAGGCAAGGTACTATGTGTCTTTCTACCACATCTTCCAGTTTTCTCTACCTTTCCTGTCCTATGTCTCTACCCATCTCACCCCATTTTCCCACCTCCTCATATCAATCTTTTTCTCAGACTGTGAGGTGGAGTGATGTACAGAAATCAGAAAGAATAGGATGGTTATATCTTGGGAGGGTGGACCAAGAAGCAGTGACTTCAGAGCTGAACCATTTGGATCTGTAAATTATTTTCTCCTTCCCCTGTCACAAGACAAGGAAATCCATGAAGAGGGAAGACCTAATCTTACTTGCTCTGCACTCTCCTCTCACTCACGTCTCTGTCTCCCTGAATCAGATAGCAGAGGACACCTTGCAAACTCTGGTCCCCCCATCTCCCGCACCTTCCAGTCCCAGAAGGATTTTCCTGGATGCCACTTTAAAGGAGAGCCACTGTGTTATGATGCCTCACACCATGTACTGCATGCCTCTCTGGCCAGGGATCTCTATGGTGCTTCTAACCAAGGTAAGAGAGCCAGCCAGGACTGGCTGCCTTGCCTCCTGGCGAGGGCGCGGGACTCTTTTCTTTAGACCCCTCACCTCCTCTGCTTCCTCCCTGCAGAGCCCCAGCTGCCACATGGCTCTCTCCCTTTATCAACTGCTGGATGGGTTTTCGGTACTAGAGAAGAAACTGAAGGAAAGGCAGCAAGCAGGGGGTGCCCTTCGTTCCCAGCCCCTTTTAGGGGACTTGCGCCAGAGGATGGACAAATTTGTGAAGAATCGAGGAGGACAAGACATTCAGGTCAGACTTAAACCTCATAGGAAATCAGAGCCAAAGCTCTGCCCCCGCAGGAGAAAGAAGGGAGTCTTGTGCTCTTGGGGACACCAGTGAATCAGAAAACCAAAATCAAGAAGTCAGAGGGAAATGCAAAACTTTTACTCAAAACATTAAACCCTCGGGGTTCAGGAATGAGGCATTTTTTGTTAATCAAACAGTCTGGTTAACAGGATTATCATAAATTCCAGACATGACTCACCAATTACCAGATAACTTAAAATTCAGTTCACATATGTTTTTTAAGGTTAATGTCATAGATTTTATTTGTGCTATTGTAATGTTACAATGTTTCAGTTACTTGGACTTTAAAAAAATTGGTTTAATCTCTTCAATTAACAAAAATCTATTCTCTTTCCCTTCCGTCTTCCTCCATTGGAAAAAAGGAAAAGGAAAAAACAAAATCATTGTCACAAATATGCATAGTCAAACAAACAGATGCCTGCATTGGCCACATCTAAAAGTATCTATCTCAGTCTCCACCCTTAGTCCATCATCTCTGTCAGGAGGTAGGTGGGTGGGGAGCATGTTTCATCCAGAGTCCTCTGGAATCATGGTTAGTCAGTTCACATATATTTATGAAAGATCTGTTTTGTGCCTACCACTGTGCAAGATGCTGTGTAAACTCTCAAAAAACTAAACCATAACCCTGCCCTTGAGGAGATTCTAGTCTTATCGTGAAAGTTATATCCATTCAGTGACAATGCGCACCAGCAGCGGTGTATATGCTCAGTACTATAGAGAAGGAAGAAGAAAGGGAAGATCAGGATGGGCTGGAAAAGTGGGGTGGGTGTCGTAGAGATGATGGCCTTTGAACTGGGGCTTTGAAAGGGAGAGCATCTTAAGTGAGGAGAATAGTGCGGTGGCCTCACACTTAGTAGGCATTTAATAATTAAGGATTAAGTAGAAGTCAACCATGCAACTGGGCAGAGAAAGAGGCTATGCATGGCCTGCTTTGGGGAAGGTGGAGAGACCTGCCAGATTGAAAAAGAGAATGTGACAAGGAACAGTAGGGAATAAAAATGGAGGAGGTCCGGTGGGGCCAGGCTAGAGAGGGCCTCAAATGCCAAGATGATAAGTTCAGGCTTTGTTCCTTTGGCAGTGGGACATTGATTGGAAATTTGTAAGCAAAGGAATGAAGTAGTGAAGGTCATATTTTAGGAGGGTGAGCCTGGTGTCACTGTGAAAAATGAAGTGGAGCATGAGGAAGTAAAGTATTCGGAATATTAAAACACAGCTGAGTCTTTGATGATTCTGGAGGCATTTCAGGATCTTGACGTGCCTCAGGGCCAACATCCTGAATGTGCTTTAGCATTGTATTAGGTGGACAGAAGAGCTGGCTCATAGGATGGCATATGAAATGTTTACTGGCTCTAAAGGTAATTCTGAAGTGATCATAAATGCTTAGGAAGCCCTGGGGTCTCGTTCCTAGCTGTAGCATTGCTGGGGGGCAGAGGGTTCTTTGGGGGTTTGTGTCCCCAAAGTTATCTATCCTTGTTTCAGAGCTCATGGCTGGAATTTAAGAACAAGGCTTTCTCCAGGAGTGACCAAGGGTCATACTTGGAGTAAGTACAGGCACTGGTGGAAATGGGTGGGGGGCAGGGGGGAGGGGAGGTGGGAGGTGAAAGTAATGGGAACCCTTGGGTGGGATGACTCCTCTTTGCTCTGATTCTCTGATTCAGAGATGACAGAAAGATGCCAGAGTATTAAAAGACAGAAAGCAGCCATGAGGAGCTCAGTAAACTCAGAGCAAGAGAGAGAATTCCCGGGAAAGAATATGACCAAGAAAGAGAGAACACTGGGGAGACTGAGCCTCCAGTATGTGGGAGAGGGGATAGCCAAAAAAAGTAGGCACACCAGAACTAGGGAAAGAGAGGGGCCTTGTGTACTCAGCATTGACCTGCTCTTCAGTCCCCAGGTGCCAGTCTTCCCCTCTGAGGTTACTATCCATCTGTCTGTACTGGGTTTACGTGTTGTCCCTCCCACTGGCATGTAAGCTCCTGGAGGGCAGGGATTGTGTTTAGCCTTTCTTTGCATCCTCAGCACTTAGCCAAGTGCACAGGATAAGGGCTTAATGAGTGCTTGCTGATTGAGTCCTTGACTTTCAGGATCATCCAGGCCTGTGCAAAGGTAAAGAGGCAGCTTTGCTCCATGTACCGAGTCTGCTTCCTGAGCCCAGCCCCTGGAGGGGGAGGGCCCTGTCTCCCCGAGAGCCTACAGAACCACGTCCAGAGTGTCATCCAGTAAGTTGGGGAATGATTGGAGGTGGGGCCTTGGCCTTGGATGGAGCCTATGGCCACAAGTCACCTGTGCTCCTCTGGTTTCCTCTGACAGAGACATGCTGGTGGACTGGAAGGACTTTTTGATGGTGAAGAGCCAGAGAAACATCACCTTGGTGTCATATCCTGACTAAGTAAGGGGGAGCCAGGGCAAGGAAGCGCCATAATTAAGGCATCTCTTCTACTTAATCTCTCAGAAGGGTCTGCAGGGTATAAATGGCACTGTATACATGGCCTTTTTTTTTTTTTTAAATAATCCTCTTATCAACAGCAAGCATGTTACTTACAAAAGGTTACTCACTATGTGCCAGGCACTGAGCGAAGTGCTGGCCATCCAGGGAAAAAAACCCAAAACATTTCCTGCCCTCAAGCTGCTTACATAGTAATGGGTGAGACAACCTGTAAATAACAGTCATATACAAGATCTGTGCCAAGCAAATACAAGGTAACCTTAGCATAAGAAGACCTGAATTTGAATCCTGCCTCAGACATTTATTAGCCGTGTAACCCTGGACAAGTCACTTAACCACTCTCAGCCTCAGTTTCCTTATCTGTAAAATGGGGATAATAATGCACCTACTTCACAGGATTGTGAGAATCAAATGAGATAACATTTGTAAAGTGCTTTGCAAACCTAAAATTTGATACACACATATGTATAGTATATAGAATATATATGTATGTGTGTATGTATGTGAATGTGTATGTATATAGGGAGAGAAAGTATTGAGTGTGTATATATATATTGAGATATTAAGTACATATGAAGAGATTTATATATAATATTATATATATTCTATACATACATGTGTGTGTGTATGTATATATGTGTGTGTGTGTGTGTATATATATGTGTATATATATATGTATTGAGTATATTTGTTGTTTACTCAGTTAGTCACGTCCAATTCTTCATGGCTCCATTTGGGATTTTCTTGGCAGATACTGGAGGAGTTTGCCATTTCCTTCTCCAGCTTATTTTACAGATGAGAAAACTGAGGCAAACAGGGTTAAATGACTTGCCCAGGATCACTCAGCTAATAAGTATCTGAAGTCTGATTTGAACTAGGGTCCTCCTGACTCCAGGGTCAACACTCTCTCCACTGTGCCACCTAATTGCCCCATTGAATATTTTACATAGATATATCTATATAACATAGATACATATATGTGTATGTGTGCATATGTGCCATGTATCTGTGTGTGTATATATGTATATATACATACTACCTATTATTATTAGGGGGGAAGGCACTAGCAGCCGGGGAGGGACCAAGAAAGACCTCCCTAGAATGTCGTTGTTGAGATGAGTCTTGAAGGTAGCCAGTAGGCAGAGGTGAGGAGGGGGACAACCAGGGCAGAGGCTGTCGAGTTCATCCTCATAGTGAGCATCAGATATTTGGAGCCAGCATGAACAGAACCCTTCCTAGAGTAACCTTCATGCAAAGGCCCCAGGGGCCTAGAACTACAGTGAAAGGCCTCTGGTTCCACCTTCTCAACGCCACGAAAGGAGAAGCGATTTTCCCAGATCCTATAACTTGTGAATAACAGAGCCATTAGACTGTGTGATCCTTGAGAACAGGAACTGGTTTTTGCCTTTCTTTGTATCCCCAGTGCTTAGCACGTGGCATACAGTGCTGCTTAATAAATGCTTGTTGACTGGCTAAGCCAAGACTAGATATCCTGATGCCCAGAATGGTGATCTTGCTGCTCTACCACACTGCCTTTGTTTTTATAAGCCATGAGGTGGTAAAATGGACAGAATGCCAGGCCTGAAGTCAGGAAGACCCGAGTTCAAATCTGGCCTCAGATACTTTCTAGCTGGGTAACTCTGGGGAAGTCACTTAACTTCTGTTTGCCTCAATTTCCTCATCTGTGAAATGGGGCTATAATAGCACCTGCCTCCCAAGGTTATTGTGAGGATCAAATGAGATCATATTTGTAAAGTGCTTAGCACAGTGCCTAACATTTGTAAATGCTTCTTCTCTCCACTTACAACATCAAGTACTGTCCTTTGGGCATAATTTCCTGAGATTTGTTAGGGAGAGATTATTTTTTTCCCTTCTTTAGAGGAGGGAAAGATAGAGGTCACCCTTTGCCCAGGACATACCTGGCTAAAAGTTGGCCAAATTGACTGTTTCCTTTCTGCGGGTGTTTGTTCTTTTATCTGTAAAATGAAGATGAAACCCGTCCCGGACTGTGTCAAAGTGTTTAAGTTCTTAAAGCAGGGAACAGATCACATTTAAACTAATGGCATCAGCACAGAACCCTGTGCCCTGCCTGCTGTTGCACTGGCCTCAGCACATTAGATATTAGAGTATAGAGAAGAGACCACGCCCCAGAAGAGACACATGTGCATCCCAGGAACAGGCCTCAAGAATCATCATGATGATGATGATGATGACAGTTACTGGCATTTATAAAGCACTCTGAGGTTTGCAGGTTGCTTTACATGGCTCATTAGAGCATCACACCCACCCTCTGGGGAAGGTGCAGCGATTGTCCCCACTTTCAGATGAGGAGATGGGATCAGAGAGTTTTAGTGAAGTCCACAGCTAGCAAATGTCTGATGTCAGCATTCAAACCCAGGTTTTGGTCTAACTCCAGCACTCTTGTCTTCTAGGCCATTTTGTCTGGGACAGAACAGCCTGTTAACTATCTGTCCCCCCTCTCAAATACATGAGTGTTGTGCTTCTCATGGGACTCCCAAGAGGAGTAGGAGGAATTAAGAAGGAGGGAAAAGGAGGGGTGCTCTTTGAGGAGAGGGATGAAATGGAACTGGAATTCAGGTAAAAGGCATACCTGTCTCTTACTGCCTTTGGGGATGGCCTAGTGAACAGAAGACTTTTCCTGGGATCGTCCTGGATGGCCAGGATTAGAACCTCCTTAACCTGGGCCTTCACTTACCTGGAAGATTTCCCAGGGTTGGTGCATTTCATCTACGTGGATCGAATGACAGGGCAAATGGTGGCTCCCTCCCTGAGCATCACTGGAAAAACGATGTCAGAGCTGGGCAAGGGACCCCTGGCTGCCTTCATCAAAGCCAAGGTAATCCTAATCTCACCCCACTTTTTATTGCTGTTCATAAGTATCTGAAATCCTGTCTGGTGTGGTCATTATGAAGATTTCCTCAGCACTCTGGGCACACATAAGATTAGCTAAAGCAAATTTAAGACCAAAAAAAACCCCAAAAAACCAAAGCTTTATGCTCTATTTGAGGGAACTGGAAATGTTCAGCCTGGAAAAGAAAAGGCTGAGGACAGGAGAAGCCTTCAGGCATTGGAAGGACAGTCACACCAAAGCTCAGAGGCTGTGGTCCAGCCATACTGGCCTCCTCCCTATTTATGACACACAGCACTCCATTTCCTACCTCAACATCTTTGCACTAGCAGTCTCCCCCGCCTCCTCCAATGTACTCCATCCTCACTTCTCCCCTCTTGGAAGCCCAGCTGAAGCCCAGCTGCCTAAATGCAGCCTTTCCTGAGCTCCCCAACGACTTGTGTTCTCCCTCTCAAACTACATATAATTATCCACGTTTGTGCTGATTTGCACTTATTCTCTTTATATTATTCTGTACCTAAAGAGGAAGCAGAGAGGAGTGGGAAAGAGAGGAAGGGAGGGAATAAACATTTGTGTAGCATCTATTATGTGCCAAGCTCTATGCCAAGCACTTTACAAATGTTGTGTCACTTGATCCTTACAATAACTCTGGGAGGTAGGTGCTATTATTATCCACATTTTACAGTTGAGGAAATTGGGGCAGACAGAGGTTCGGTGACTTGCCCAGGGTCACACAGCTAGGACTCAGGTCTTCCTGACTCTAGGCCTAGCACTCTGTCCACTGCACCACCAGATCTTATGAATAGACAGTTGTCCTTGAAACCAAGAAGGCCTGAGTTTAAGTCCTACCTCCTACACTAGCTGAGCGAAACTAGATGAGGAACTTAACTTCTCTCTACGTCAACTCATTTGGAGAAGGAAGTCTTGAACTCACTGTCCTCTGAGGCCCCTTCCAGCTCTGGGAGCAGCCTGTGTTGGAGCTTAGGTCTCCCTCATTGGAGATCTTCAAGCAAACACTGGAGGACCACTTGGCCAGTAGGCTGTGGGGGAGACTTTAATGAATGGCCCAGAGGCCCTTTCCTGAGGCCGCTAGAGGGAAGAGGAAGAATTAAAGACATATTGATTTTGGCATAGGTTTTTACATGATATTTATAGATGTTTGCTGAATTGAATTCCAGGAGGTGTATTCATTGGGTTTATTTCAGAGTTTTTGTTCAGCATCCTGATTCACAAGAAGCTTGTTCACAGTGACTTATTACTCTGTCATGCATTTGCCCTAAATGTAATTACTTTTTTATTGTAATATTAGCAAACATCCATCCTATTCTCATGCATCTCCTCTCAGAGATAGTGAAGCTGGCCACTACCACCCCCACTGGAGGCCACTTGCGCCTCTGATGGTCACTGCCACAGCTAAGCAGAGGCAGCCAGGTGATATGATGGACAGAGCCCTAGGCCTGGAGTCAGGAAGACCTGAGTTTAGATCTTCACTCCTTCCTTTCTCTTCCACCACTTACTAGCTGTGTGATTCTTTCAGCCTTAGTTCCCTCATCTTTAGATAGCAGCTACTAGTTCAGGCACTTTGTAAACCTTTAAGCACTACGTAAATGTTAGGGATGGTGGTGGTGGTGGTGGTGCTGGTGCTGGTGGTGGTGGTGCTGATGGTATGAGATCTCTGACTCCCTGAAGTTGGCCAGGATCCAGAGTCTCAGAGCATTTACAAGTCAAAATGTGTCACCGGCCCTGTCCCAGCTCCAACCAGCCTCACCGGTTTCAGAGGCCCTAGCTGACCCATAACTTCTTGGTATCTAACTTCCTGGAGTATAATCAGGAGTTCCCAGTAGTCAGAAGGGGACTCTGGGTGATCACAGTTGATCCTTTGTAGTCATCAAATATGTAATGTCACTTTAAAATGTCACTGATGGTATAAATTATTCATTTGTTGAGGTTTGCTAAAAACCAGATAACTCATCAAAACGATGCCTTTTTGTGAGACTCTTTTTGAATAGTGACAAGCAACAGAACAATTGAAGGAAAAAAAAAGAAAATTGAAGGCCTCAGCTAAAGGAACCTAGCCAGGACTAGAGGGGAAGATAAAGCCTTTAGCTTGGTCCATTTTCTCATGTCTCCTTCCCTACAGGTGTGGGCTTTAGTTGGTCTGGCCCGGCGATACCTTCAGAAGGGCTACACAACCCTGACGTTCCAAGATGGCGACTACTACTGTTCCTACTTCCTGTGGTTCGAGAATGAGATGGTGGGTATAGTCATGCCCCAGGAGCATTAAGACGACATGTTTAGGGAGTTATGTGGGTGTTGTTGTTTTTTCCCAAAGCACTGTCCATTTTTGGTCTCATTGTAATTTCACAATGGCCCTCTGGAAACATAAGTCCAGGTAGCTCAATTGAATTAGAGCACAGGGCTCCTGAGATCAAAGATGCAGGTTACACCCCCTTTGCTGTATTTTATGGCTGTCGTCTATACCTTTGCTTCAACCCAGCTGTCTTCTAAAACACGCTGTAAGTTGAGGGATGGGGGGAGGAGCCAAGAAAGGAAGCTGTGCTCCTCTTTGGGTGGGTGAGGCCTCCCCAGTACCGCAAGGAAGCATCAAGAGCATAAACTACTGATGTCAGGTGACATCATCTTCATAGATGAAAGACGGCACATCGATGTGCACATTTGCAAGTGGGAAATGCGAGGCATCAAGAAATTAAGTTGTACCAAGTTACTCTGCTAGCCAGGGGTAAACTTGAGGCTATGACTTAATGCTTCCAACTCCTCCTGACCCAGTGTTCTTTTCACAAGGCCACACTGCCTTCAGCAGTACAAAATTAGGTAATGGTATCTTACCTCCATATTTTTCTTGCTTTGTTTTTCTATCACTTCCTTTCTCTAATTCCTCTTTTTTTCTGGCTTTTTTCTTTAATTCTCCCTCTCTTCATGTGTTGTTTTTTTTGTTTGTTTATTTCTTCTTTTTTTCCAGCCCCAAAGAGCCATCACTTCAATCTCCAGCACACACTTGAACCTGTTGTTGCTTCCATTATCCAAGCCTTTTATTCACCTCTGCCTGTCCTTTCTGTGCTAAAAACTACTGACTTCTTTCTCGCTCACCTCCAACCACCATAAGCATCTTTCCTGACTCCTTCCTTCTCTCCTGTCACAGGAGAGCTCTGGACCAATCAGTATCCAAGGTAATAGTTGATAAAAAATAATCAGACAAAAGGGATTGTAAAGTTCTGGCAGAAGGACTGAGTGAGAAGTTGATTCTAAGCCTTGCTCTCCTTCATCAGCTCAAAACATCAGGAAATACATCAAATAAAGTAAAAGAAGAAAAATTCAATTCACATACCAAGGTATTATAGTCCAAATTACCTGGAACTACTCAACAACAGGAAAAAAATGAAAATAAAGACTGGAAGGACTATTATAAATTCTAGAATTCTGCCTTGGTGTATACCTTTATTTATTAGAGAGAAACAGAAATTGTTAGGAAGGAAGGAAAACACTTTTTTGAAAAAAAAGTATTTTTTTCCTAGTTACATGTCAAGACAATTTTTAGCATTCATTTTTACAAGATTTTGAGTTCCAAATTTTTTTCCCTCCCTCTCCTACCCTCTTCCTGAAATGGTAGGCAATTTGATATAGGTTATACTTGTGCTATCATATAAAACATATTTCCATATTTGTCATAGTTGTGAAAAAAGAAACAGATTGAAAGGGAAAAAAAACAAAAAAGAATAAAGTAAGTGAAAAAAGTATGCTTCAATCTGCCTTCAGAGTCCATTAATTCTTATCTGGGTATAGATAGCAGCATTTTCTTCCATGAGTCCTTTATACCTGTCTTAGATCATTGTGTTACTGAGAAGAGCTGTGTCATTCATAGTTGATCATCACACAATGTTGCTGATGCCGTATACAGTGTTTTCCTAGTTCTGTTTATTTCTCTTTGCATCAGTTCTCTTTCCAAGTTTTTCAGAAATCTGCTTGTTCATCATTTTTTGTTGCACAGTAGTATTCCATTACATTTATATACCACAGCTTGTTTAGCCATTCCCCAGTTGATGGGCACCCCCTCAATTTCCAATATTTTGCCACCAAGAAAAGGGCTGCTATAAATATTTTTGCACGTGCAGGTCCCTTTCCCTTTTTTATGATATCTTTGAAATACAGATCTAGTAATAGTATTGCTGGATCAAAGGATATCTGTTTGGTTGCCCTTTGGGCATAGTTCCAAATTGCTCTCCAGAATAGTTGAATCAGTTCACAACTCCATCAACAGTGCATTAGTGTCCCAATTTTCCCACATCCTTTCCAACTTTTATCATTTTCTTTTTTTTGTCATATTAACCCATCTGATAGGTGTGAGGTGATACCTCAGAGTTGTTTTAATTTGCATTTCTCTACTCAAAAGTGATTTAGAGCACTTCTTCATATGCCTCTAGATAGCTTTGATTTCTTCATCAGAAAACTACCTGTTCATATACTCTGACCATTTATCAGTTGGGGAATGGCTTCTATTCTTATAAATTTGACTCAGTTCTCTATGTATTTGAGAAATGAGGCTTTTATCAGAGACACTTGCTGTAAAGATTGTTTCCCAGCTTTTTGCTTTCCTTCTAATCCTGCTTACATTTGTTTTGCTTGTGCAAAAGCTTTTTAATTTAATACAATCAAAATTATCTATTTTACATTTTGTAATGCTTTCTGTTTCTTGTTTGGTCATGAACCTATAACTCACTTAACTTCTCCTTTAAGAACTTGGATGCTGTCAGATTTATGGATAAGGGGAAGAATTTAAGACCAAAGAAGATATAAAGCATTACAAAATGTAAAATAGATGATTTTGATTATGTAAAATTAAAAATTTTTACACAAACAAAACCAATGCAGTCAATATTATAAGGAAAGAAGAAAACTGGGGGGAAATTTTGCTAGTATCTCTGTTAAAGGCCTCATTTCTCAAATATATAGAGAACTGAGTCAAATTCTTAAAAATCAACTCATTCCCCAACTAATAAATGGTCAAAGGATATGAATATGCATTTTTCAGACAAAGGAATCAAAGCTATCTATAGTCACATGAAAAAATGCTCTAAATCACTATTGATCAGAGAAATGAAAATTAAAACAACTCCGAGGTACCACCTCACACTTATCAGAGTGGCTAATATGACAAAAAAGGAAAATTTTGGATGTTAGAGAGGATGTGGGAAAATTGGGACACAAATGCACTGTTGGTGGAGTTGTGAACTGATTTAACCATTCTGGAAAGCAATTTGGAACTCTGGCCAAAGGGCTATAAAACTGCATACTCTTTGATCCAGCAATACCACTGCTCAGTATATATCCCAAAGACATCCAAAAAAAGAGAAAAGGACTTATTTGTACAAAATTATTTATTGCAGCTCTTTTTGTGGTGCCTAAGAAATAGAAATCAAAAGGTTGCCCATCAATTGGTGAATGGCTAACCAAGCTGTGATATATGATTGTAATGGAATATTATTATGCTATAAGAAAGGATAAGCAGGATGATTTCAGAAAAATCTGGAAAGACTTACATGAGCTGATGCAGAGTGAAGTGAACAGAACCAGGGGAACATGGTACACAGTAACAGCAATATTGTTCAATGAAGAACTGTGAATGACTTAGCTATTCTCAGTGATGCAATGATCCAAGACAGTCCCAAAGGACTAATGATGAAATATACTATCCACCTCCAGAGAAAGAACTGATGTTGATCAAATACAGAGTGAAGCATGCTATTTTTCACTTTCTCTTTTTTTCACTTAAGTCTTCTTGTACAAAATTACTAATATGGAAATGTTTTACATAATTGCACATGTATAACCTATATCTGATTGCTTACCATCTCAGGGAGGAAGGTGGAGAGGGAGGGAGGGTAGAATTTGGAATACAATACTTTAAATAAAAATGCTTAAAAATTGAGGAGAAAAAGAATCTGTATGCTATGCCACTTGGTGCACATATGTTTAGTATTGATATTACTTCATTGTCTGTGGTACCTTTTAGCAAGACGTAGTTTGCTTCCTTATCTCTTTTAATTAGGTCTGTTTTTGCTTTTGCATTGTCTGAGATCAAGATTGCTGCCCCTGCTTTTTTTACTTGAGCTGAAGCACAATAGATTTTGCTCTGGCCCCTTACCTTTGCCCTGTGTGTGTCTGTCTGCTTCAAGTGTGTTTCTTGTAAACAACCTAGTGTAGGATTCTGGTTTTTGATCCACTCTGCTATCTGCTTCCATTTTATGGGAGAGTTCATCCAATCTACATTCACAGTTATGATTACTGTGTATTTCTCTCCATCCTATTTTTCCTCCTATTTGTCCTTTCTCTCCTTCCACCCTTTCCCTTCTCGACATTGTTTTGCTTCTGTCTACCACTTCCCCAGTCTGCCCTCCCTTCTGTTAGTCCCCCTACCTTTATTTAATCTCCTCCCCTCCTACTTTCCTATCAGTTAAGATTGATTTCTACATTCAACTGGTTGTGTATATTATTCCCTCTTTGGGTCAATACTAAAGAGAGTAAGATTCAAGCGGTGCCCATCACCCACCCTCCCATCTTTCCCTCCACTGTAATAGGTTTTTTGTGCCTCTTAATGTGAAAACATTTACCCCATTCCACCTCTCCCTTTCTTCTGTACCTAGTGTCCTCCTTCTTCTCATTCCTTAATTATTTTTTATGTCATTCCCTCAAATTTGCCTTATACCTGTACCCTCTTTCTATGTGTATTCTTTCTAGCTGTACTATTAGCGATACAATTTTTAAGAATTACAAGTATCATCTTCCTACATAGGGATGTAAACAGTTTGGCTCCATTGAATCCCTTATGTTTTCTTTTTGCTTTTTACCTTTTTAGGCTTCTGGGGCAGCTAGGTGGCACAGTGGATAGAGCACTAGCCCTGGAGTTAGGAAGACCTGAGTTCAAATCTGGCGTCAGACACGTAACACTCACTAGCTGTGTGACTCTAGGCAAGTCACCAATGGCCTCACCCAAAAAAAAAAATTACCTTTTTGGGTTTCTCTTGGGTCTTGATATTAGAGATCAAGTTTTTTGTTCAGTTCTGGTCTTCTTATGAAAGCTTGAAATCCTTCTATTTCATTGAATGACCATTTTTTTTCCCGTTGAAGTAGTATGCTTAATTTCACTGGGTAGGTGATTCTTGGTTGTAGTCCTAGCTTCTTTGCCTTCCAGAATATCATGTTCTATGACCTACGATCTTTTAATGTTGCAGCTGCGTCCTGTGTGATTCTAATTGTGGTTCCCCAATATTTGAATTGTTTCTTTCTGGCCACTTGAAGTGTTTTTTCCATGACCTGATAGTCCTGAAATTTGGCTATAATGTCCCTTGGGGTTTTTGTTTTGGTATCTCTTTCCTGAGGTGATCGGTGGATTCTTTCAGTGCCTGTTTGGCCCTCTGGTTCCAGGATATCAGGGCAGTTTTCCTTGATAATTTCTGAAAAGATGCTGTCCAGGTCCTCCTTTTGATTATGGCTTTCAGGTGGTCCAATGATTCTGACATTGCCTCTCCTGGATCTATTTTCCAGGTCAGTTGTTTTTCCAATGAAGTATTTTACATTTTCTTCTATTTTTTCATTGTTATGAATTTGTTTGATTTCTTCTTGATATCTTATAGTCATTAGTTTCTACTTGCCCCATTCTAACTTTGAAGGAGTTGTTTTCCTCAGTTAGCTTTTTACTTTCTTTTCCATTTAGCCAATTCTACTTTTTAAGCAGTTGTTTTCTTTTTCCATGTTGACTTTTTTCATAATTCTCTTGCATCACTCTCATTTTTTTTCCACCTCTCTTATATGATTTTTAAGCTTTTTTTTTTTTTTTGAGCTGTTCTATGAGTTCTTTCTGGGCTTGAGACCACTTCGCACTTTTCTTTGGGGTTTTGTCCATGGGTGTTTTGATATTGTTGTCCTCTTCTGAGTCTGTCCTGATCTTCCTTGTCACCATAATAACTTTCTGTGGTCAGATTCTCTTTTTGTTGTTTTTTGCTCATCTTTTTCCTTTCTTTTAAATTTGAGCTCTGCTCCCGGGATGGAAGGGACACTGTCTCAGGCTTTTTGTGCCAGGGACTGCAGACCCTGACTGTTTACCTGGTGCTGCGTTGATGTTGCCCTGACACCCACTGGGGACCATTGTGTCTAGTACTGCGCGGAGGGGGTGGGGAGTGGCTAGTGCTCCTGGAGGCTGTAGAGGTCTGGCAACTTACCTGGTGCTGAGCCAGGGTGCTAGTGCTGGTGTCTGGCATGTGCTGAGGCCAGTGGGGTGTTTCTGTGTTTCCCAGGGCTATGTTAAAGTACTTGGTGAGAGCTCTGCACTGGCAGCAGCCTGTTTGCTTAGGCACCTGTGGGGTTGGCCCTGTTTGCCTGGGGCCATGCTGAAGCACATGGCAGTTCTCAGAATTGGAATCTATCCATTCCCCTGGCTATGCTGAGGCATGTTAGGGGTCCTGGTGTTGGCATTCGGCTGCTCCACTACACTGGGGCTCAGGATCTCCCACTGGTTTGCTGAGGTAGGGCTTGCTGCTGGCTTGCTGGGACACTTCCTGTTCTGGACTGCATTTCCCTTTTACCCGAGTGAGACAGACCTTTCTTGATGATCTTCCAAGTTTCTTGGGCTAAAAGATTGTTTCACACTGTCTTTCTGCTGTTTCAGGATTTCTTTTAGGGTGACATTTTATAGGTATTTGGAGGTGAACATGGGAGAGTTACAGCAACTTACTGCTAAGTGCTAGGGATGCAAATACAGCAAGATAGTCCTTTACCTAAAGGAACTTATATTCTTATAGGGAAGACAATGCATTTAGAGGGGCTGGAGTTGGAAGGTGGAAAACAGAAGGTGCTCATGGGGCAGTATGGTTTGGAGATGGTTGAGATCACACTTTTTTACAGTACGGAAATGGCCCTTTCTCAAAGGGCTCTGCTCTTCAGAGCCTCTATGTTGCACAGTCCCTGGCTTCTCATTGTACCACTTACTCATGAAGTTTCTGCCCACATCTCCTTCCAGTCTCTTCTCACAGCTCTTCTGGTCTTCTTTAGGGGCACAAATTACAGGCGATAGAGGTACCTGTCCTCCCCGATGACTCAGCTCCCATCGGTGTGCTTGGGGGAGACTATTACAGGTAACACCCTTCCAGATTGAGGTTCAAGAGCCAGATCCAGAGAGGGAGAACTGGGAGATAGATAGATAGGGATAGAGATGATAAATAATACATATATATGTATTATCTCTGTGTGTGTATATGTGTGTGTGTGTATACACATACACACACAGACACATATTCCTGCCTTAAGAGCATATACATACACGCATATATGATGTGTGTACACGTACATATGTATATACACATACACATACTCTGGCGTTGGAGGAAGAATAGCTTTTCTCCCATTAGGGAAGTACCTGGCCCAGAGAGCTAGAAATCCTATTGTGCCAGGTGTCTGACCTCGCTGTGCCCAGTACAGTAGCATCTTGATGCTCTGTTATCAAAGAAGCCAGTGTGGCCACAAAGGGAGCTTCTGTCTCTGATCCTGTGCCATCACCCTAGTAGGCACCACTGATTCCACCAAGCTCTTCTTATAAGACATGTCTGGGCTTGGCAGGTTCTGCTTCATGTGGGATTAGCACTGAAATCCCCAGGATAGGAACCTCTCTGAAGGAAGGACTCATTGTCAGGGAGCTAAGGGAGAAGCAAGTACAATTCTAATTAGGTAGCAGAGAGCTCAGGAAACCTGAGGAGGAAGTCCTCACTGACTAAGGTGCTGGAAACTTTGTCCTTCACGTGAGAAGTCAGCCCTACCCTTCAGGAGAACTGGGCTGCATCTGGACCTTTGAGGCCAGCCAGCCCCTGTGGGATCCAGCCCTTGGCCGAGGGGAAGACAATCTCTTCTGAATCATGTATTTTCTTTTACCCCTGTCTCCTAGGAAGCTTCTGCGCTACTATAGCAAAAGTCATATGGGAGAAGTAGTGAAATGCTATGAATTGATGACCATCCATCTCTCTGTCCTCGGTATGGACATAGTGGTCCAGCAGGCAGGCGAGCTGGCCCGGCAGCTGTGGGAGTCATCCCGTATCCCCTTGCTCTAGAAGACTGGATTCAGGTTTCACAAGACATTTGTTTGAGGTGGATGTGCCCCACCTCAGCTTCTCAAATCTTCTGTGATGCAGATCACAGCTGATCGTGCCTGCCCATCCATCATTTGGAGAAAAATGCTCTCCTGCTCAGTGCTAGCCCTAGGGCAGCAGGATAAAACCTTCATGCCTACATATTCCTGAAAAGCCCTACCCTGGCCGATCCATGGGATGCATGGCACACAGAGATGCCTTGCCAGCCACAAATCAGACCTGCAGTGCTGCAGATCTTAGCATTGGTGACACAGATGCCGCTTTGTGTGTCAGAGAGCAGGTTGGGAGTCAGAGGCAGGAGCTGGGCCTTGCTAGAATCATGCCTGCTGCAAGAGAGTGATGCACTTTAAACAGAGGCCTTCTATATTGTGTCCTTAGAAGTTCCAGGGATTTTGACATTGAAATTCAGAGCCACTAACCCTAGGGGCTGCCTCTCGTGCCTTCCCCCGAGGTGGGAAGGTTACCAGCACCTAATATCCAGGGTTTCATGACCTTAGCTCCCTGCATCGCTTAAAGCACTTAACCTTTCCTATTTTTCTTCACTGGATTCCTTCTTATCCTGTCTCACAGGACAGAAAGGAAGAGCTTGTTCAAGCATTTGAGTTTCCTTTCTCTGCTTCCTCAAATCCAAGCTGCCTCATTGGCCTATCATACAGTAAAATGGGGAAGGGGTTTAGTGTGGGCCCATATATGTCCTACACAATAGACAGTTCCTAAAACTTGTTCACTCCCAGCCTTGTCAGTGTGTGGGAAGTAAACAGGAAACCAGATTCTGGGTCTTTTGCAGATTTTAGCCAAGGAGAGAGGTGTTGAATTGAAAAGACATTGATTGACAGAAATAAAATAGTAAGTTCTGTAAACCACCTTATTTCTGCTTTATGCATTGTAAACCTTCCCACCCCACCCTGCCTGTTTTATTTCTGGGCACAAACAAGACCACAAATGACTCCGTAGTCATTGACTACAGATGTAGTCTACAGACTACAAATGACCTGCATTCCTTAAGGATTTCCAAGAAGCTGTCTGTTGGGCAATGGCACAATAAGTCAGTCTAGAATTCAGGGGTGGGGAACCTGCAGCCCTTCTTCTGAAGTTTGGATTCAGTCAGAGGGCTGCACTTGAGGACCTAGAGGGCCATGTGTGGCCTCGAGGTGGCAAGTTCCCCACCCCTGGTCTAGATTATTTAAATAAGAATGATAATACCACTGATGAGCTTCCCACTGTGTGCCCTAGGCAAATAGCTAAGCACCAGTGTTCCAGGGATGTAGCAGCGTTCCTATTGGTCCCTGCTCGTGATGGGTACAACAATAAGGCATGTGTCATTACTTATTCAACCATGCAGGAGTTATCTCAAAGACTCCAGTCTAACTTGTAAAGGAAACACACTGGAAAACTGACAGTTCAATTACAGAAGAAGAAGGGAAAAAACAAACTAATTTTCCTCTAGTGGCTCTTGGCAGTATTAGGGCATCCAAGAAGAATCGGATGGAGAATCTCTCCGTGCAGGTCCCTGCAAATTCATAAGGAACCCCAATCCAAACAGCTGCAGAATCCTACCAGTGTTACCTCCATGATATCTATAGAGTCATTCTCTTCTCAGCTCACGATGCCACCCCCAAGTTCAAATCCCCATCAGCATTTGCCTGGTCTAACTGGTCTCCCTGCTTCCATTCTCTCCTAATCAACTCATCTTCCTTCTGACCATTTTCACCCACCTGCTTAAAGACCCTCTCTTTCAAAGTTGTTTTTCTTCACGTTGTTGTATTAATTGTTGCCTTTTAAAAATGGACGGACCAAAACAAAAGACAGAAATGGGGCTGTTTTGTTACTACCTTGTTAAATTTAGTATTACTTTTTTAAAAAGACAAGCTGTATGTAAAAAATGAAAGTTCAGAGTTTTGTTTTTTTTTTTTATAAAATCTCATGTTTTTTGTAATCTATTAAAATGGTTGTGTTTGTTGATTTTGTTTTTCTTTTTGGCAAGGCAATTGGGATTAAGTGACTTGCAGGTGTCTGGCGGGATTTGATTCTCCTGACTCCAGGGCAGGCGTTCTATCCACTGCACCACCTCACTGCCCCTTGTTGATGATTCTTAAGATCAAAATAAGAAAAGGAAACAGTCAGTGGCTCCGAAGTGCCTGGAGGATGAAGTGAGCCCCGCCCCCCCAATCTCGCCCATCCACATTCCAGCCAAATAACAAGTTACCCACTCTGATCCGAGACACTTCCAATTCATCCATGGCAGGCTGGGAGTAAGAAATTTGGCTCCTTAAGGAGGGTTCTGCAAGGGAGGCAGAGAGAGGATTAGGCAAACAGATGAGAACAGTGCAGGCTTGGGCGGGGTTTGCCTGGAGAAGCCCATCCCCCACGCCTGGAATGCCCACTTTTCTTCCAAGGCCCAGCTCAGGTGCCAACTTTTCCATGAAGACTTCCTCACTTTTTCAGTTTCTCCATCTCCATCCCAGATGAAACAGAGGCCTCCTTAAATTATCTTAGAGGTCTTTGTCCATATCTCCCATCCATGTCACAGTCTGCTTTGTACCTTATTTACATATACTAATCTGACTTAGCCAACGAGGTGTCAACTGTTTCAGCCATGCCCTTGAATAGAACTTTAATCAAGGCTTAAGGTTTGAGCAAAGAAAGGAGGTAACACATCATTTGGTTGATTAAAACTGTATCGGTAAGACTACTCATTAGAAACATGGGTACTCTGCCTAGTCACTTCTGGCTGCCAACCAGATGAACGCCCTGGGGTACACTGAGTCACAGCACCTGCCTCTGCCAGGAGCCAGCTCTCTTCACAGCTTGGCTTAACGTTCAGCTGGATGGCTGGTAGTCAGGGTGTTTGGTGTTAAGCTCGGTCTGAAGTCCACCACCTCCACTGAAGATCGTCTGTCCTTAATCCACTTTGGGAACTGCTGTCCAAGGCAAGGTAATGCAGTGAGCTGGACAAATGTTCAGGGTTGTATACAGTTTCTAGTGTGATGGGAAAGGGGGGTGTAGAACTGATGCCATCCCCAACAACAGCTAGCTAATGGAATCCCAGGAGATGATGGGCAGATAACAGAAGTAAGGAGGTGGCAAAACAAAATCCTGAAGACGAGTGGGCACCATCGTGCCTTTATGAAGTGAAATGTGGAAGTTCTCCATGGTGGGGTTAGAGGGCTAGTTTCCCATTAGCTGGCCAAAGACTGGCCATGCACCTGTCAGAGTCTTGTAGGAGAGCCACTCATTCTTTAAGAGCACATCACAGGGGATAGAGAAGAAAGCCGACTGTGGAGTAGAGAGAAATTTAGTCCTGGAGGGTAAAACTCCAGCTATGGAGAGGAACAGACCTGGAGAGCCCAGGAGAGCAACTTGCAACAGAAACACCATTTTGGGTCAAGAGGAGAACCACAGTGTGAGGACACCGAGAAGAGAAAGGACACTGGCGCTCTGAAGTACCAGGGGCACAAGTTTCCATGTATATCCCCCATGTGTATGCCTCATTACCAACATATTCTGTTTGTGCCCACCCCTATACCTTGTCTGCCATGTGTCCTTGTGGGAGAGATCAGTAAAGGTTTATGGGGAGAATATTTTGTGGCTACTGTTCTTACAATGCAATCTTTTTTTGGGGGGGGTGCAATTGGGGTTAAGTGACTACCCCAGGGTTACGCAACCAGTAAGTGTCTGAGGCCAGGTTTGAACTCAGGTCCTCCTGACTCCAGGACCAGTTCTATCCACCATGCCACCTAGCTGTGGTGTAATCTTATGCCTTTGCTTTAAGCTACTTGTCTCTACTATGTATTTACCTTTATATGTTTACTTGGTGGGGACACATGAGCTATAGTTTTAAGGGTACAGGCCCACAGAATACTTTTGAATCTGAGAGTAGTCACCTCCTGGGGATACAACCCATGAACCTCTTGAATGCCAAGTTGTGAAGGCAACATAAAAGGGATGCTACCCTAAGCGTGTTTATCAGCCAAAGTTGCAATCCCAAAACACCATAGAGAATTCTAATAATTCCCTAATGGTGTTCCAAAGGGTGTGCTGTTCGGCTTACATTACAAACAAGCCAGTCAGGGTACAAAATTGTAAATCAATCAGATTGCTAAATCATAGCCTCTCAAACTTAAGGTGGGTTAGACAGTGTTCATCAGGCACATCTGCCTTTGCTAAGGGTCCTATCTGGACCAAGCGAGGGACAGAAGCACCAAAAGAGCAGTTTCAGCAAGTGAAAGTATGAGTGTCTCACAAGGGGGAGTATGACAAAGCATGAAGCAAACAACCTGGGGAAAATACACTTCAGAAAAACCTGGGAAGACTTACATGAACTGATGCTGAGTGAAGTGAGCAGAACCAGGAGAACACTGTACACAGGAACAGCCAAGTTGTGCAATGACCAACTTTCATAGACTTGGTGTTTCTCAGCGATGCAAGGATCTAAGACGACTCCAAAAGCTTCATGATGGAAAATGCTATCCAGATTCAGAGAAAGAACTATGGAGCCTGAAAGCAGATCGAAGCATACTGATTTTTTTTCTTTCTCGTGATTTTTCCCTTTTGTTCTGATTCTTCTTTCACAGTATGACTAATATGGAAAATAGTTAATATGTATAGCCTATATCAGATTGTATGCCGTCTTAGGGAGCAAGGAGAGGAGGGGGGGAAATTTAGAACTCAAAATCTTATAAAAGTGAATGGCAAAAACTAAAAATAAATAAGTAAAAATCAAATTAAAAATACACTTCATAGCTCACAGAGGTTAAAAGGGCCAAGGCTGTGTGTGGGCTGCAGTCATAGTATCATACCCCTCCATTGCTCTTTGAATGCAGGAATTGCTGTGTTTTCATCTTTGTATTCCTGGCTTCTAGCACTGAGCATAGATATTTAATAAAGTTGACCTGAATTGAATTAGCTAAGAATAGAGAGATTGTATGAGAGCAGCTCTTAACTTGAGGTCGAATAGTTAGGCTTCAGAAGGGTCCACCACGGGCTTGATGGAAAAAAAAAAATATGTCTTTATTTTCACCAACATCTAACTGAAACTTATCTTTTCCCTCAGTTATGAATAGAGGCAATAAAATATTATTTGGAAGGGTTCATAAGCTTCATCAGACTGCCCAAGGGGCCATGACCCAAAAAAGGTTAAGAATTTCCTGCTCTGTGGGCTCCGTGACTTAAGTCACTATAATTCACTCCATTTTGCAGTTGCTGCTCTGCCTGGTTTCAGCTCCACTAAACAAGAGGGAACCTCCTAGTTAAGCTCATCTATTCTAAACTGACCACCTTGCTACTAGCTCAAGCCTCTCCCCTCTAAGTGGAAGACTGGAAGGTAGAGTACCAAACTCCTCCCAATGCCTTCCTTTCTAGAGGGCAGAAACTGGACTCTCACCTCACTAGACTTTGCCTCTGCTGCCCTGCCTGGTTTCAGCTCTACAAAACAAGATGACCCCAGGCCAGTTAAACCCTGGTATCCCCCTCCCCCTTTCCTGCCTTCTTTTGTGTGCTGTTTCCCCCTTTAGATTATAAACTCCTTGAGGGCAGGGATTTCTTTTCATTAATTGTATCCCCAGCACTTAGCTCAGTGCCTGGCACATAGTAGACACTTAATAAATGTTTATTGGGTCGGTCTTTATTTCTCTTGCTTTCTCAAGGGGTGGGAAAAGAGGATGGGGAGAGAAAGAATTTGAAACAGAAAATAAAATTTAAAAAAAGAAAGAAAGTTGCCTGGGACACTGAGAAATTAAATGACTTGCCCAGGGTCATACAGCCAGTATGGATCAGAGGCAGGATTTGTTTTTGTTTTTTACAATCTCATTACAATCATTTTTATTCTCATCTGTGTATTTGGACTTTTGCATTTATTGGTTTCTACTATTTTTTGTGTTTTTGTTTTTGTTTGCTTTTTGGTGAGGCAATTGGGGTTAAGTGACTTGCCCAGGGTCACACAGCTAGTAAGCGTCAAGTGTCTGAGGCTGGATTTGAACTCAGGTCCTCCTGACTCCATGACTGGAGCTTTATCCATTGCTCCACTTAGCTGTCCCCAGAGGCAGAATTTGAACCCAGGTCTTCTGGACCTTGAGACAGTCCTCTACCCAGCACTGCTTCTCTTGACAACAAAGTAAAGAGAACTGTCTTGATGAGCTAGAACACTGGCCTGGAACCAACAAGAGTAAACTTAATGAGGAGAAGATCACTCGGGTTTGAATGCCGAGTCAGTAAGCCCTGCCAGGTGCCACGGAGCTGGAAAGGCTTCCAGCACAGGACTCTGTCCAAGGACTGCTCTGGCTGAGTCCAGAGGCTCATCACCATCTACTTCCTGAGCCACAGAGGGATTACAAGGTGTATGAGAAAAGGGAGAGCTGACCCTGACCAAATCACAGATCCCTAAAGTACTGAAAAAGCACAGGGGGAGGAGGGGAAAGGAGGGAGAGCATGTGAAACTCAAAAATTTTTAAATGAATATTAAAAATTGTTTTTACATGCAACTGGAAAAAGATTTTTTTTAAAAAGCATAAATCATGCATATAGCTTATGAAAATAATTACAAAATAAAAGATAACAGAAATGGAACTTTACAACTGTAATAATATGTGCCATTAATATAGGGATTTAAGGTTTACAAAGCACATTACAAGTTACCTCAGTTGATTTCACAGCAGCCGGAAGAGGTAGGTGTGGTTATTATCCCCATTTTACAGATGAGTAAACTGAGGCATACAGCAGTTAAATGACTTGCCCAGGGTTGCACCACACAGCTAGTGTCTGAGGCAAGATTCAAACTCAGGTCTTCCAGACTCCAAGTCCAAACACACTATGTATTGTACCACTGTACCACCTGGCACGCTCTAAGCTATAGGACATGTGGGAAAAAATGAGGGTGCTTAGATGATCACTTGGATTAGACTGAGGCAGCAGTGGCATGCAGCTGATAGGTTTTTTTTTTTAAACACTTTCTTAAGCTATATAAATAGAAGAATATTGTCCAGATCATTGGAAGTAATAATCTTCCTGTCCTTTCAACTCTTCATGCCATATCTGGGTTGTTGCATTTACCACATTGTTTGAGGGATAGTGATAGCCTAGGATGCATCCAGAGCATAGCATCTGGGATGGTGAGGGGTCTAGGTACTCTGTGAAATAGTCAGAGAATCATAGGGTTAGAGACTTAGAATCGTGATTTCATTGATATAGGTACCTCTCAGGTGAGGAAACTCCCTCTACTAATACAGGTTCTACACTTCCACAATTTATAGTATTAGAAAGTTGCCTGTGGCACTGAGAGTTTAAGTGACTTACCCAGTGACACAAAACTAATATACGTCAGAGAAAGGAACTGAATCCAGATCTTCCTGGCTTTGAGGCCAGCTATCTATCTACTATACAACAGATTCTTAAACTTTTTGGTTTCCCTTTACACTCTTAAAAATTGCTCAGGACCCCCAAAGAGCTTCTGTTTATGTAAATTAATTATATCTAGTGATATTTTCTGTATTAGAAATTACAACTGATACAATTAAAACCATTGATTCACTTATAGTGACAATAATAAACTCATTAATGTTAACAAATAATTATGATAAATAACTATTTCCAAAACAAAACAAAAATTAGTGTGAAGGTTGCATTGTTTTGCATATTTTTGCAAATCTCTTTAATGTCTGGATTAATTGAAGACATCTGGGTTATCTTATCTGCTTCTATATTCAATCCGTTACAACATATTATTTTGGTTGAAGTGGATGAAGAAAATCGAGGCTCATGCAGATATATACTTGGAATTCAGAGGAGCATTTTACCGGGCAAATAACATCTTAGTATTATTATGAAAATAGTTTTGACTTTGGGAACCCCTTGAAAGGCTCTCTCTGCATAAGGAATGATTTTGTTGTTCAGTCCTGTCTGATTCTTTGTGGTTTTTTTGGCAAAGACACTGGAGTGGTTTGCCATTTCCTTCTCTAGCTCATTTTACAATAAGGAAACTGAGACAAACACAGTTAAATGACTTACCCGGGGTCACACAGCTAGAAAGTGTATGAGGCCAGAGTTGAACTCACAAAGATGGGTCTTCCTGACTCCAGGCCCAGCACTCTTTATCTGTGCCACCTAGCCGCCCTCAGAAGGAATGATAGGACCATTGATTTAGAGCTGAAGGGAACTTCAGACCCACGTATTCCACACCCTTCATTTTACATGTAAGGTAATAGAAGATCAGGGAGGCTTCAGTGACTTGCAGGAACCAGGTTGGTTTTTCTTAGAGAAGAGAATGCCAAGGGAAGACATGATAGCTGTCCTCAAATATTTGAAGGGTTATTATACGGAAGAGGGCACTGACTTGTTTGAGGAGACAGAACTGGGACACACAGGTGGCAACTTTTGGCTCCACACGAGAATTTCAATTCATAAAACGATGGAACGGTAGAAATGCTGACACTGTACACAGCACGTTAAGGTTTGCAAAATTGCTTGACATATTACCTCATCTGCTCTTCACAACAACCCTGGGAAGCAGATTCTATTATTATAGAATGCAGGTGGTGAGATGGTGAGCCCTCCCAAATATTCCACTATGTAAGCAAAGATTAGATGGCTCTCTGGTTTTGTTGAATAGGAGTTGAAATTGATGGGCTCAAAGGTCTCTTGGAGAGTGGTACCATTTTGAAAATGCAGTCTCCTCTGGGAATTCTAAACCTGTGGGTATTCACACCTTACTGCCAGTCACTTCGATGCAATCGAAGATTGATTTCTCCCTAACTGAGATCCACTGAACCGGAGGGGAGGGGGTGAGGGAAGAAGTAGGGTGGGAAATCTAGGGGAGCTGATTTTGGAGTGTGGGGTACTTTGGGCAGGGTACTACAGTGTAGGAGAGGCAGAAGGCATGAGAACACACAACATCTGGATACCACGAGACAAGAACTGCAAAGAGGAAGGGGAGGAAGCAGGCATATTGCGACTACTTTGCCATTTTGCCTAAAACCCAGGTGGTGATGAAAGAAAATTATCTTTTATGGGGCCTTCTTAGGTGGGCTGTGTTACCTGCTTCAGCAGAAATAGAAAGCGTGTCACTCAGACCAATTTAGGCTAATCCTGTAAGGACAAAAGGAAATGAGAAACAGATAATCTGGAATATTTCTGTAAAGTATGGTTATTTGGGGTAGACCTCTATCTAGTCACCTTCTCCCTGGGCTACATCTCCTAGAAGATATTGGGAGCAAAAAAATGCTTCATAGGGAGGGTCCTTTGAGAGACTTCCTAGGGGCTATATGTGAGGTATGCCTGTATGCAGGTCTCTGGAGGGAAACAGGAAGGCAAATACATCGTGACAATGGGAGGCCTCTTCCCCCTCTTAAACCTGTAGCCCAGGTCTGGGCGGCTACCCACTGCACTCACCTGCAGAGATATGTAAACATGAGTCGGACCTTGGTTTTGGGTGGCCCTAAGCAAATCACGAGTGGGAGGCATGGAGTGATGGAGAAGAAAGCAGCACGTACGACCTTGCCCACAAGGACAAAAGGGGGGGGGGTGGTTCAAGCTACAGCAGGTGGTCATAAGGCAATGCAGTGATGATCACTAATCTCTCTTTCAGTAAGTGGAGATCGGAGACTTATTGAGCAGGTGAACTTCCTTGAAACACAGGGTTTACCTTGACGCTTGGAACGTCACATTTTATGATACAAATGGCTAATGTTTCTAGATTTTCTCATGCTTTTACTAATCAAACTGTTTAACCATGACTTTGAGATTTGTGAGGCTGAAAGACACTTTGGACCTGGAAGGAATAGGTCAGTGGGAGCTGGGCTGGTAAGTGACCAGTCATGACTGGCAAGTGCAATGCCCCAAAACATAATGGTAAAGGAAGGAATGGTGGGTGACTGCAAGTCAGCTGCCCCCAATCCTGTTGGCAGACATAAGCAAGTTCTTACAAATGGGGCAGTTAGGTGGTTCAGTGGATAGAGTGCCAGACCTAGAGTCAGAAGTACTGAGTTCAAATGTAGCCTCACACACTTACTAGCTGTGGGCAAGTCACTTCACCCTGTTTGCCTCAGTTTCCTCATCTGTCAAATGAGCTGGAGAAGGAAATGGCAAACCCCTCCAGTCTCTTTGCCAAGAAAATTCCCAAAAGGGGTCACAAAGAGTTGGACATGAATGACAACAAAAGGAGAGTAGCAGCTACCCCTTAACGTTTCACTTTGAGAGCTGATGGCTTTTCTTCTTCAGGTATAAGCTCCTAAATTCTCTTTATTCTCTTCAGGGCAAACTGCCTGAAGTGGCATTGTGGATAATGTGTTGGCCTTGAAATCAGATCTACCTCCTGTGCTTACCAGATGAGAGAACCTGGGTAAATCATTTAACTCTGCCTCAGTTTCCTCCTTCGTAAAACAGGTATAATAATAGCACCTACTCCCCAGGGTTGTTATGAGGATCAAATAAGATAATACATGCAAAGGTCTTCTCAAACCTTAAAGCACTATGTAATTGTGGGCTATTATTATTACCTTGCTTTTATTCTTTATGAAAATCTTACACCCAAGCAGACCAGAGTTTCTCCTCCTTAAGGATAATGAACCCATATTCTGCCACATTAATGAGTAATCTCAACTCAGCTTCCACTTCACGGAGGCCCCGCAAAGGGGCACTGGAGAAGGAAAGAGGAAACCCAGGAAAAGCAAATTCCCTTTTCAGCGATGGCCCAAAGCCAGATCTGGAGGCCAAGGCCTGGGAGAGCAGGGCTCACAGCTCCACCTTCCTTCCTGCTTTTCTCTGCTCCCTTCTGCTTGCAGCCAAGGCAATCTGAAAAAGCAAAGTCCCGGCCCTTCCAGTGACTGCAGCAGGAAACCAGGTGGAGTTTAAACCCGAGGGGAAAATGAATGCCACAAGCCAGAGGTTAGGAAGGGCCTTTGCTGTCTCTACCCCCCTGCAAGGCAGACCAGCACCCACTGCAGCTGGCGGCCCCCTGAAGCCAGAATACGACGCAGTGATCATAGGAGCGGGTAAGACAGCTGCAGCATGGGCCTGGAGGGGAGGCTTCTGGGGAAAGCAAGGCCTTGGAACTAGATGTTTTCTTTCCTTTCCCCCTTTAATGTACACTAACCCTGCACAGAGTCTGGGGAAGATAGTCTGGATTCAAAAGTCACTGGCCATTTTCCTGAGGTTCCCAATGTTTTAGTGGCATTTTTTTTTTTTTGGAATAAGAGGAACCTGAAAAATCTGGTTGACAGTGAGATGGAAACTGGGACCCAGTGTCTTGTAATATCAGAGGCCAGTGTGGAGAGAGCGTTAAGGTGGAAGCCAGAAGACCTGGATTCTCATGATCCCAGCCCTGCTATTAACTCAGTTTGTGACAATGGGTGGGTGAAACTCTCTTAAAGATTTGGGCATGGTGGGCGGGCAGATGGATGAAGTAGGGAGGCCTAAGTTTGCTGTAGTGATCTCCTCTTTAGATGCTTTCTTTTCACATAAAGGAAAAATTCCCCTGGAGCACTATGGGCCATTCCTAAGGAGGTCATGCCAAGAGGCTCCTGCTTGCCAGGTGGGGCACTCCCCTCTCTCAAAGTATTCGTGGCAGGGTTACTAAGGAGTGAGCATTGGATTTGGAGTCTGGAAGATCTGAGGCCAAATCCCACATCTGATATTTGCTAGCTGTGTGACCTTGTGCAAATCCTTTCACTTTTCTGTATTCTTTAGACATCTTTAAACTGAGGATGATAATACCTGAGGCACCTACCCCTCAGCATTATTATGAGGTTCAAATGAGATAAGGTAAGTGAAGTACTTTGCAAACTTTAAATGCAGCTAGGCGGCCAAGAGTGCTGGGTCTGGAGTTCAGAAGACCTGAGTTCAAATCTGGCCTCAGACGCTCATTGACTGTGTGACCGAGAGCAAGTCACTTTACCCTCTTTGCCTCAGTTTCCTCATCTGTTAAATGAACTGTAGAAGGAAATGGCAAACCACTACAGTATCCTTGCCAAGAAAACCCCAGATGGGGTCATGAAGGGTCAAACATGACTAAACAACGACAAACCTTAAAATATTATATAAGTGTTAGTTGTTATTAATATCTTGGTTATTAACTATTAATAATAGCTGGCATTTATAAGGTGCTTTACATGCATTATCTCATTTGAACTTCAAACAACCCTTTGAGGTAAGTATGTAAAGTGTTACTATCCTCATTTTATGGATGAGAAAACTGAGGCCCCCAAAAAAAGATTGCACATGGTCACACAGCCAGTGTCAGACTTAGGATGCAGTTAACCTGCTCTAAAAGCTCTTGTATCTCCCTCAGAGGGTTATCATGAGGCTCAAATAACATAAGGAAAATGAAGCACTTTGCAAACTTTAAAACGTTGTATGAATGTTGGTGATCATTAATAACTTGGTTGTCAATTATTAACAATAACTCAATAACAATTTATCATTTTTAGGAATAATAACTGACATATACAAAGCTTTATGTACATGATCTTATTTAAGTTCCACAAGAAACCCCATGAGGTAGGTGTTGATATTCCCATTTTACAGATGAGAAAACTGAGGTCAACAAAAAAAAACACATTTTCCTATGAACCCATAGCTAGTATTAGAGTCAAGATGCTCCTAAGATACTGCTAAATGGTTCCTGTGGAGGACAGTATTTCTTTGTACTTACATAGTAGGAGGGAAGTGGAAATATTGCCCCCAGGTAGAATTATGAAGTTGTTGTCTTCTTCCTGTCCCCTACACCCCCACCCCTTTTAGGGCCGTTCTGGTTCCCAATCCTGTCCGTCTAGGAAAAGAGAAAAGGAGCTGAGGCTATTGTTTGTACTCACCTATGACTGAGTTGGTTTCCATGGTTACCTCTCCTTCACACTTGCATTTTCAGTCTTTTCTCTCTAACTTTGGGACAAAATGCTTCTTCTACCTGGAAGGCATCGTGAGTATTAGCAATCAGGTGAACAGAGACCCAGGGACCAAATTCTTCTCCTAAGTGTCTCCAGTGCAGATGCTCCCCCAAAACTGGGGCTGGGCTAGCTGTAGTATCTGAAGGTTCATGCCCTGGAACAATATGGTCTGAGGAAACTTTCTGAACTTTACTTCAGAACCTAGAGCCCACCATCATGACAAGAATTCCCTCCTCTCGCTTTCCTTCTCTGCCTGAGCCTGGTCACCCCTACTCCCTCTACTAATCCTAATAGCTGTCCTCCCTGCGCCCCAACATGCCCAGATGCCAGAGCATGGGACAGAAGGCCTAGGGTCAGCTCCCAGTTCTGCCATTTACTAGCTGTATGACCCTTAGTGAGTAACTTTTCCTATCCAGGCCTCAGTTTCCTCATCTGTACATCGAGGGAGTGAGACTAAATAAACTCAAAGGCTGTGAATAAGAACCCATTTTCATTGTTTCCGGATCTCAGGATTTTAGTGGACTGAAATTTTGCTCAATATGAGTTAACAGTATGACATGCAAAAAAAATAGATCCAATATATTATATATGTGTGTGTGTATAATTGGATCTCGTTGTTCAGTCATTTCAGCTGTGTCTGACTCTTTATGACCCCATTTGGAGTTTTCTTGGCAAAGATATTGAAGTGGTTTGCCATTTCCTTCTCCAGCTCATTTTACAGATAAGGAAACTGAGGCAAACAGGGTAAAGTGACTTGCCTAGGGTCACATAGCTAATTGGCTACATTAAAAAGAATAAAGGAAATAATAGTCCTTATTATCTTGTATTTGTATCCTCAGCACTTTGAATGGTGCCTGGGACATGATAAATGTTTAGTGAAATCTTTCTCTGTCTATGTTGTAAAAGGAATTCCTGCTTAGGTTTGGATTGGTTTTGTGACCTCATGGCTTTGGTTCTCCCTTCCCCATCTCACCCACCCCTACATCATGGTGACATTTTGTCAATTTGGCCATTTCTAGGGTAGGTCATTTAGCACCTCAGATCTCCCTCTGAGTTTCAGCTGAACAAAGTCCCGGGACACCTGGGTGAGAGAGACAGAGAGAGAGAGAGAGAGAGGAGAGACAGAGAGAGAGAGAGAGAGACAGAGAGAGAGAGACAGAGACAGAGAGAGAGATAGGTCTGATAGACCTATTCTTCAAGTCTTCCTCAATCAGTGGGGATGGAATAAAAAATATTATAGGAAGCCTTAATCCTGAGCCATTGGTGGTAAGAGGAAGGATATATGAACTTAGACCTAGCTATAGGACATTGGATTCAGGTAAGGGCTTTGTCTTTTAACCCAGTGCCTAGCTAAGTATGAAGGAACTCATCACTAGTAGGCTGGCCACTTAGTGATAGATTCTTTGGTTGTGGCAAATAATGAGAAAAATATAATATGCCTCCTCCTTCTGTAGTGATGGCAACCAAGTGGTAGAAAAGGGGGCAGAAGGTACTAAGAATCACACGGTTTTTAGACCATCTATAAACATTTACTAATTTGTTGGTGTTCTAAATATAAGCCCATTGTCCAAAGTAAACATGCTACTGGAGGAACTTACCCAGATCAGTCTTGGCATTCTCATTATAAATTAAATGAAGAAGGAGGGAAGTTGCAATTAAATGGAAAGATGTGGGGAGCCTAATTACGGAATTGTATGAGTTGGTTTTATCAGTCATACAAAGGCAACAAGAAACCAAGAAGCATTGTTCCACGGAACATTCAGTTGGGTCATCTGGTTTTTACAGTGCTCATGACAGGTATTTGCAAAAGGACTACCATGAAAATAATTGCAGGTTAACACCAACATCCTTTGCAGAGGACAAAGAGATGGCAAAACTCTCCAACAAACTTGATAAGACCCTGCAAATTAAATCAATATATGTTTTAATACTTGGTGACTTCAGTGAAAAAGTAGGAATAGATGAGGATGGTGGGAAATATATTGGAAGACATAGATCAGAAGGAAGTAATGAAAGAGGACAAAGATTAGTAGACTACTCAGGACCTTGGTGCCCATAGGCCAATTAGGAATATTTTTTTAAAGAAAGAATTCAGCAGGATGTGAATGTGGCAAACACTAAATAATATCACAAAAAAATGTAATTATTTATATTTAAACAGATAGTAAATTACTTGTTCCCAATGTAAAAATTGTTCAAGTTGTTCAACTTGTACCAATGTAGAAGTCATTTCTCCATCAGCCACTTATTAGCACAAAAATCGAAATTAATATAAGGCTAAAAGAATTAAAAAGAGAAAAAGATAAAATGTAAAACAAAACAAAACTTTAGCTCCATTCTAATCTATTTAAACATGTTACTGATAATGAAAAATGGTTGGAAAAAAGACCATAGGCACACATAGCTGCAATAATTTCATGCAGAAGTTTAACCAACATTAATCAATTACCACAATAAAGGAACTCGAATTGTCTAAAGACACCTGAGTCAGAAAACATTTGACTTTCTGGCCAAATGGGGAGACATGACATGCAAAAGTAACACCAGTTCATAATATAAACTTGTTTGTCAAATCCTGTAGATACGAGGGAAGATTTGTATTGCCTCAGTTTCGCCTCAAGAAACAGAAGCAATGAAGAGTAAAATTAGTTTAACAACAGCTTGCCAAGAGACTCAACTAAGCAGATATCCCAAAGGCACTTAGAGTTGAAAAGAGAAGGAGGACAATAAGCAAAAGAGTAATGGCGAAAGGAGGGGTAAAAATGGTAGTGACTAAAGGTCGTACAGATTTTTATATCCAACTTTTTTCATCCCTGAGCCTTGGACTCTGCCATCCCAGTCCTGGATATGCTTCTAGAAGAGCTGGGGCCAAAGACAGTAAAGACGGAAAAGCAGCTGAGTTAGGTCAAGCTTGTGAGGAGGAGAGCTGTTCTGGAGACAACACAACTATGAGAGAGCTTTGAGGGATCAATTTGAAGATAAATGGAGGATCTGAAGATACCAGAGGCACAGGGAGAAAAAGTCATTAACCTCATTAATAGTGAAAAAGATTCCCGAGAGAACATCAGCAGCTACCAAACTCTACGCCTACTTCCCCATCTCTATACGATGGTTATGAAAATAATGTGTCAAGGGCATCCTCAGTAAAGGCATGAGTAAGGAGTGGGCAGGCTTTCACAAGTAACATTCCAGAGAAGAATGTGTCTTCACCATTATAGATTGACTAAAAGATGTGGAGAATACAATATTATTGTTGGTTGCTTATTTTTAAAAATACATTTGTTTCAATAGAGCAAAATTGCCTTAGAGGTTCTCTTCTACCATAATTTCTGGGGTGCAATTAAAGAAGTCTGTGGGGGGCAGGGAATCACATCTCTGACAAATATACATTAAGAAAATAGAAAGAGAGGCTTAATGGACTGAACATGCATTTTAAAAATTAAAATGCCAATAAACAAACCTAAAATAAGCACAAAAGAGATATTAAAAATTAGAGGATGATAAATTGGAAATCAAAAGATTATATAAGTGATCAATAAAACTAAAAGCTGGTTCTTTGAAAAGACTAATAAAATTAATAATAGACCTCAGCCAATCTGATGAAAAAATAAGAGGGCAGAATATCAATAAAATAACAATCAACATGGTGAAATCTCTCTCTCTCTCTCTCTCTCTGTCTCACACACACACACACACATACACACACACACACCAGAAAAAAAAAATAATTATCAGAACCCATAATACACAGTTACATACAAACAAAACTGAGAACACAAAGAAACTAGAAGATCTTCAAAAAATATAAAACCCCAAACAAGACCAAATAGAGATCTTAAATGGTCCAATCTCAGAAAAGGAAATAAAACCAGCTGTAAAGGAACTACCAAAGGAGAAAACCTCTTGGTCCTGATAGATTCACAGGAGAGTTATGTCAGACTTTTAAGGAACAATTAACAACAATATTATACAAATTATTCTCAAAAATTGAGAAAGAAAACACCCTACCAGATTCCCTTTTATGAGACAAATATAGTCCTAATGCCTAAATTAGGGAAGGATAAAGCACAGAAAGATAAATCACATTACTAATAAATATTGATTCAAAAATTTAAAATAAAATAAAATTCATTTGAAAAAATGAAAGATCTAAAATATCAAGAGAAAAAAGTAACAGAGTTGGGGACAAAGAATAAACAGCGTTTCTAAACTTCAAACTATATTATAAAGCAGCAGCCATGAAAATCATCTGGTATTAGCTAAAAAAAAAAAAAAAAAAAAGGTAAAACAATAGAAGAGACTAGGCAAAGGAGAATCCAAAATGATGGAACTCGATAAGCCAGTGTTTGATAAACTAGAAAACATAAACTACTTATGAAAGAACTCACTTTTGACAAAAACTGCTGGGAAACCTAGCGTGTAGTCGAGCAGAAACTAGGTTTAGACCAACACCTTATAACGTATCCTACAATCTATTCTAAATGGATGTGACCTCAATATTAAAGAATACACTATTAAAAAAAAGAGAAACAGATTATATACCTTTCACATCTATGGGTAAGAGATGTATTCTTTCATTTTTATTATTCCCTCCTTTTTTTGAGTAACATTTTATTTTTTCCCAATTACATGTAAAAACAATTTTTAACATTAATTTTTTAAAATTTTCAGTTCCCAATTCTCCCTCGCCCTCCTTCTCCAACTCTGAGATAATAAGCAATTTGATATAGGTTATATATGTGCAATCATGCCAAACATTTCCTTATTAGTCATGTTGTGAAAGAAAGCACAGACAAAAACACACACATATATACACAAAGTGAAAAATAGTATACTTCAACATGCATTCAGACTCTATCAGTTCTTTTGTTAGAGATATATTCTTAACGAAACAAAACCTAGAGGTAGTTACAGAAGATAAAATACATAACTGATTTCCTGAAACTGAAAAGCATCTCCATAAAAAATTAATGCACCTAGAATACAAAGGGAAGTGATCAAACAAGAAAAAAAATCTCTGTATCAAAGATATTTATCTGCTAAGGGTGTGGTACTCAAGATATATAAATAATTAATAAGTATAAGATATAAGACCAAAAGCTATTCCCCATTAAATTAGTAGTCAAATGATATAACAAACAGTTCTCAAAAGAAGAATTGCATACTATTAAGGGCTATATGAAAATAACAGAAATGCAAATCAAAGCATCCCTGAGATTTCACTTCTCACCTTGCAAACTAGCAAAGATGACAAAAGATGGTAATAATCAATGTTGAAGGTGTTATGGGAAGATAGGCACGCCAGTGCACTGTTGGTGAAGCTGGAAATCAGGACAAGCATTTTGGAAAGCAAATATTATTATACAAACAGAGTGACTAAAATATGTATTCCCTTTGACTCTAAGATTCCATTGCTAGGCTCATACCTCAAGGAAGCCGTTGATAAGAAGAAAGGCCCTCTGTCCACCAAAATGTGAATAGCAGTACTTTTGGTGATAGCAAAGTACTGGAAATTATGTAGATGGCATTGGTTGGATAATGGTCAAACAAATTGTGCTACATGAATGTGATGGGATAACATAAGAACTGAATAATGTGATGAATACAGAGAAACATGGAAAGCTCTTCATGAACTAATGCAGAGTAAAGTAAGCAGAGCCAGAAATACAATACACACAATGACTACAACATGATAAGTAGAAAGAACAACCACTAAAAAAATCATAAGTGAATGTTGCAAAATCATAAAGAAAGAGCATAGCTCCAAAGAAAAGCTTTGAAATGATACCCTCACTCTACTCCTTTGCAGAGGTGGGAGGTCCAGAGTTACTGATCATTGCACATATTTATAGGCTTTTTTTTTGTCTTAAAAAATACCGTTTATAGAATGGATCTCTGGGAGGGAAGTAGGAGGTATACTGAGGGAAATCATGGTGGGTATTTTTTTAAACAAAAACAAAAGACAGAAACTAAAACTTATTTTTAAAAATAGACTCTTTTCCAACAGGTGTCTCCCATCCATATATCAAATTATTCCAGATCTTTTGAAGATATTACAAAAGAAAGAATCTTCTTGATGTCCTTTTGACCATTAATATAAAACATAAAAAACAAATTAATATCAAACATAAAACAAGGAGATGTGTGGTCACCTTAGGTATTCACCACTGTCATGAAGGAAATACAGTGAGGAGTCCAAGCTAAAGAAGGATTCCCTGGGAGATTAGATGGTATAGTCCTCCAGATGTCTCTGTTTGAAGATGGCATCATTCTGGGTGCATCAAGCCCCGAGTACTGCAGAACTTCCTTGAAGAGGAGGGTTAGATTCAGGGGTATGATGGAGCCAGCTTGAATGGGCTTGAGAGAGCTCAGATTTTCAGTGTGAGCATTTCCACCTCAGGAATCAGCAAATACTACAAATCATGGCTAGCTTTATTTGTTGATCGTCTAGTCAAGAAAGTGATGGAGAAAATGTTAATAATGCAGATTAAACTTGAGTGTGTCCTGCATACATTTTTTAAAAAAAAAGATAGCTGTTAAATATTTAACGGCACACCTTTGTCTTTAACCACTCAATAGCATTTGACCTAACCATTCATATAGGTAAAACCAAGTGGATGATCAATGCTCATTTTTCAGATCATGACATGAAGTTATATGGCACCCATCAGTGCGTGTGTATGTGTATATATATCACATTACATGTATGTAATGTGATATATTTATACAATACATAATATTGCTCTACCCATTGCTGTATCTAGTTTTTTTAGCTAGATGGTTTCGATGACTGCTGCTTTATAATATAGTTTGAGGTTTGGAAATGCTATTTTTCCTTTGTCTCTACCTCTTATAATCATTTCCCTTTTTACATACATATACATACACACACAGAGGCCCTAGTCTTAAGAAGTTCATAGTCTAATGTGAACAACTATATACAAACAAGATATTTATAGGATAAATGAGGTTAATCTCATAGCTTTCAAATTAAAAAAGAAATTAGAAATTAAAATATTGATCACAAGGGGGAAAATCCAGCAAAATTATCCAAATTCCTGGAGTTGGATGGAGATGTGGTAACCATTACTAAACACACTTCAAGCATAAAAGGGGTGCCATTCTCTACCAGAAAGTAGATTTTCCCAAGAGTAGTTCCCCTCTCCATTCATCCCCCAGAGTAAGGGATACTAGAAATGCATGCTAGATGAGAGTTGGACCTAGACAGAAAGGTACAGTGAAAAGAGTTATGGAATTGTAAGACCTGAGTTTTAAAAGATCCCATGTCTGATGTTCTTTACTTGGGTGACCTTAGTCAAGTCACTTGTCATTCCTGGGCCTCAGTTTCCTCATCTGTAAAATGAGAGGATTGAACTAGAACTCAGTTTTCTTGTCTTTGGCTTAGCGTAATGGGGGATCAGAGAGTGTGTCACTTTCTAAAGCTCTTAGCGATGACTGGGCCAAGAACAGCTCAGCAGAATCCCTGAGTACAATGCTTCACTGTCTTCTGATCTATATTTCTTTCATTCTCTTTCTTCTTCCCTCTCCCACGTTCTCGTTCCAGGACACAATGGACTGATTGCAGTGAGTACCACCTGCCTCCAACCATCTTCACCCTGCCCCTAGGCAAAGGCCTCTCCAGCTGTGTAGGGCCGAGCTAAAGGGAAAGGAAGAAGATAGAATGAATCCAATAAGAGAAAGGACACTGCTACCTGGGAGTCTGTGGGATTGTCCTTAGGGTCCTGGACTGCCAATCCAGCCCCTGGACAGTGGGTTAAACTCTAGTCCAAAAGATAAGCATCAGACAGTTCAGATGAAAATTCCCAGCCTCACAGGGAATGCGTATGGGGTAAGGAGAAGTGGTATGGCTTAGGGCATTCTGCTCCCTCTTTCTTCCTTATGAAAAATAGAGTTGAAGGCAGATCATCCCTAGACTACTGAGTGGAAGATACAGATAGATACCAAGTTGATGGACAGGAAGGGCAGATAATGAGAAAGAAGGGAAAGTATAGAAAAGCAGTTAGTGATTTGACCTGCATGGTATCCATAGTGGGTTTATGCTAATCTGTAGGAAATACCTTTGAGTGTCAACAGAGATAATTGAGGACCCCAAATATCGTTGAGGTTCCAGGGATTTCTGACCCCTCACAATTGGTTTCTAAGACCCCCACCCCCCAAAAAAAAAACTAAGCAAGAATTAGAGGTATCCAAAGGTGGGTAGATATCCCATTTTGACACAGACAGTCCTAGGTTTTTTGTTTTAACAACCTGTGATGGATAGAAATGTGCCTCTGGAAACGTCCTCTGGGCAGACTTTGGTCTGGGCTCCTTTGACCAGCTACAGTAGTTTCTTTGTGAATTCCCACACGAGAGATACGATAGGGCACAGAAAAATTGACAGCATGGAGCCGCCTAGAACTTGGAGTCTCAGTCAGCCGCCCTTTCCTGGAGCAGAGAGCTGGCTTGGGAACCAGCTACCTACAGCTTCGTGAGTTACAAGCTTCTTTGCTTTGGAAAGCAATCAAGGTTAAGGATCCCTAGTGGGACTGAATTTCACGTTTCTTGCTGTTGCCATGGTTACCGGACTCAGCCAAGGAGCTATGGAGAGACTCAGAGAAACTGAGTCATTGCCTCTTATTTTCCTGCCCACTGGTTGGAAATAGGGAAATTAAGATTATTCTAACAGTTCCTGTGGTTCACAGAGTAAGGGCTCTCCTACAGCCAGCTTCCTGCAGACCTGGCCTATGCTACCGCCCCTCCAGCATGTCGGCACTGGGTGTTGGGGATGAAGGAATACCTCTATCCCACTAGAAATGGGCGGTCAGCTGTCCAGCTTCATGCTGGCTGTAAGAAGAGGAGCAACCCCAATAGAATTAACTTTACAGCTCCAAGCTTGCCAAACCCTGAGACTATCAGCCTCCTGTCTGACCTCCGGGTAAATGAAGACCTAAGGAAGCATCTGCCAGCTCCCAGAAAGTCCAGGTTTTGCCATCTGCCTTACAGATGTAGGGGACTAGTGTGGAAATGCAGGCTATAGCCTCGATGTCCATGGAGCCAGAGCTGACCTCTGGCTTGGGAATGAATGATTTGGGAAGCCCCAGTCCATTTTCTAAAGGTTGAAGTTTCCATCAGAGACTTTTCAGTCTCCCAGGATATCTATCAATCAACATTTATTAAGCACTTACTATGTGTCAGGCACTGTGCTAAGCACTAGAGGCGCAAAAAGAGGCAAAAAGTCCCTGACCTCAAGGAGCTTACCATCTAATGGGGAAGACAACATGTAAACAGATTTATACAAAACAAGCTATATACAGGACAAATAGGAAATAATTAAGAGAAGGAAGGCACTGGAATTAAAATAGATTGGGACATCACCTCAGACACCCAGCTACTTCTGATAGGATATTCATGGGACATCAACTCCATTCATCAAAACCCCAAGTCATACAAAAAGGATGGAGGAAGGACACAGTATGTTTTCCCATAGGCAGCCTACCTGCAGAGGTTGGGGGTAAACACAGCTGTCCTAGAGAGACGTCACTTGATTGGAGGCGCTGCTGTCACTGAAGAGCTCATCCCAGGTCAGTCCTGAGCAGCCAGTGGGGGTTTGGGGGGTGGTTAGAAGGGAGTGCTAGTGGTAGCTTGTACTCATCTCCATCTGCTTCTGTTCTAGGTTTTAAATTCTCCCGAGCTTCTTACCTCCTCAGCCTTCTGCGGCCCCAGATTTACAAAGACTTGGAGCTGAAGGTAATGTTCCCAGATGACAAAATTGCACCCACAAAGTGCTGACTGGTAGAGTTTCAGGATAATAACAACCACAACAATAATAACGACATTTATGTGCCCCTTTAAGGTTTACAAAACACGTTGCATATATTATCTCACTCCTGAGGGAGAAAAAATTGAAGAGTAGAGGTAGCATAATTTATCCCAAAACAACAGCCTGCCTGCTTATCCCAGAGGAGAGCCAATAGGCCTAGGGTTTCTTTTCCCACTATCACTTTTTTTTAAAATAAAAATTTCATTTTTCATTATGAGCTTAATCATCAACAAACACAAATGATCCAGTACACATAGAATGATGAGAAAGAGGCGTGTATAAGAAACTGTGAACTTCTGTTGCCATTATTATTAATATTAGACATTAAATTGAACAAACAGCAGTTTAGTTCCTACCTTTATCACTTTTCTGGGCTTATTTTCTCACTTTTAAGGACTATGCCCCTGCCTCCTCCTTTTTTTGTTTCTTCCCTCTGCTATGTAGTTACCCTATGTGTCCTGAGCCTATTTCTGACCTTATTATGACTCTGGATACCATTAACTCATCATGGCTTCTTGGACAGGAAGTCTGAACCCCACAGGACTTTTATCTCTCTCTCAGCTCCTCCCCATCCCATTTTGATCCTTTTTCCCTCCTTCCAAAAAAGCTACATCTTTGATCCCACTGCCATAGATCAGCTCTGCCTCCCTCCCTGCCTGCCAGTTTAACTACTGTGCACATATGGTCGTCTAATGGTTGACAATTTCCTTCAATCAACCAATGAGACAACACACATTTATTAAGCACCTACTGTGTGCTGAACACTGTGCTGGACTCTTCGTCTACAAATACAAAGAAGGAATCAGTCTTTGCCTTCTTTTGGCTCCTATAGCCTTTTGAGATAAAAAACCCAAATCTGTACAGGCAGCTGTCACATTAACTCAGATTTTGCTGTGAAGGATGGAAACTTGTTAGGATTGATGTTGTGAGGTTGCACACTTTTCACACACACACACACACACACACACACACACAGCCCTCTGACGCCAGAGATAGCTTCAGGTTACTCTTCCTCCTTTGCCCTGACTCCTCCCACCTCCCCACACCCATATCCATCTTCTGCCACCACAGATCTTGACTGTGCTAACAGGTTGCTTAGTGACCATCAGTCACTCTCCATCACCAGGCCAGCTGCAGAAACGTAAGCTAGCTCAGCTCCTGGTGCCTCTGAACAGAAGCCTGCAGCCTGCTGGGCAGACGCTTGCAGTGTTCCCTGGGAATGGTAGAGACTTCTTCACTCTCGGCATTACCACTGTCTCCCACTCCCTTCTCTGACGCTCTGAGGAGAGCCTCAGAGTCTTCAGCACTTGGGCAGCTGCTGGGCATGTGGCCAGTCTCTGAGCATCTCCCGCCCACCTGCTACTGCTCCCCACTTCTCCTTTGGCTCATTAGTCACTTCTCATCAGTACGGTTGTTTCCCTTCATGATCCGTCCCCTTCATGCTTGACCTATCTGCCTTCCATCCCTCCCTCAGCCACATGAAATAAGACCAACACATCTGGTATTATCCAAACAGCTTAGAAACCAAGGTTTTGTGTGTTTTGTTTGTTGTTGTTGTTGTTGTTTTGGCAAGGTAATCGGGGTTAAGTGACTTGCCCAGAGTCATACAGCTACACGTCAAGTGTCTGAGGCTGGATTTGGTCTCAGGTCCTCCTGACTCCAGGGCCAGTGCTCTACCCACTGCACCACCTAGCTGCCCCAGAAACCAAGGTTTCTAGCTGTCTCATGGAAGTGTGGCAACAGCAGGAAATCTTTGGCCTATGAATCAAATCTGGCCCTCAGTTTAAATTTCATTTACCAAGCACGGAAAGAAGCAAAATAAACCTGATAATAATTCTCTTTTTGGTGGATCACAGTGGCTATTTTATTCAAAATGAAACCTCTGAAAGTTTGATTGAAAAAAGCTGAAGAACTATAAACAGCAAACTGCTTTCTCCTAAAGAGGATTTTCTACTGAGGATTTCTTAATAATGCACAGTAAGACTCAACAAGACAAAAAATGGGGAGGAGGGGCGGGGAACATAATGTGGAAAAAGGAAATGAATCTTAATTTCAGTCAAGCTTTAAAGCACAGTAAAACAGGCAGCCTTGACAACTCAACAAAGGTAAGGCAATTAGGCAATTTGGGGATGTTACAGGGATTTGATGGCGTAGATGGCTAAACTGATTTGTTTTTAAAACACATTTTTAGAACCCATCATTTTTCACTTGCGTGCAAATTTCAGAATTGCTTCAGAAAGAATGAACTTTAAAAAAAAAACAAAACTAAAATCTAAACTGATTCCCCTTACCTGTCCTGTCAGACATGCATCCCTTCCTCTGACCTCACATAGCTTTTTGTGCCAATCTTTTGATCCCTGCACCCCATTAGACTCTTAACTAAGAACTTTCTCAAACAGCTTTTGTTTATATGGGTTATATCGATTGATATTTAACTCATGAGAAATTAAAACATTATGAAAATAGTTTTAATCTTGCAGACCACCCCTAAGATTCACACCTAAGACCAAAGGGTCTTAGGGACCCCATATATAGACATTTTTACTGGGAGGGGCCTTAGAAATCATCCTTCTGGCCCCTTCATTTTCCAAATGAAGAAAATGAGGCCCAGAGAAAGATTTACCCGAGGTAATGAGGGATACTTCTGGCAAAGCTGAGATCAGAACTGAAGCTTCTGAACTCCCAATTCAAAGCTTTTTCCATTACCCCACCACCACCTCTACAATTAGTTGCATCAATACTAAGAAATCTACCTAAAACTGTATTTATAATTAAATATATTGTATATTTACATTTTAATGGCATGTTATTGAAATTATAGAAATAAGTAGTTTTTAAACTTTATAACAAAGAGGAGGAAAGACAGCCCAGGCCCCATCCCATGTGTTACCCTTCCTAGCTAACACGTTGATATTGTAGTTTGAGTTTGGGGATGACAAAGCCTTATCCCAAATAAACGACTTTGATAGTGAGAATTCTGACATGATATAGTGAAAACAGCCCTGCAGTTGTAGTTTTAGGACCTCAGTTCAAATCCTCCCTCTCCCAAATGATAATAAAAACAATAACTTGCATTTATATAGCAGTTTAGGGTTTTAGTTTACTTTTTTTTACTTTTTTTTAGTAATTTAGAGTTTTGAAAAAGCTTTCCTCACAACCACCCTGTAAATATTGTAAATATAAATTTCCTTCTCTATAAAATAAGGATGACAAGACTCAGAAAGGTTACTCAGAGTCACAAAACTAGTAAGCATCAGAGATGAAATCTTAACTCAGCTCTGCTACTAACTAGCTAAATAACCTTGAGCCTAATTTCTCTAGACTTCATCCTTAAATGTAGCCTTGAGGTTGCTTTTAGCACGATTTGGGCTCTTTCATGGTGGGAGCCCACCTGTACACTTTTTTTTTGTTTGTTTTAGGCAGTTGGGGTTAAGTGACTTGCCCAGGGTCACACAGCTAGTAAGTCTCAAGTGTTTGGTCTGAGGCCGGATTTGAACTCAGGTCCTCCTAACTTCAGGACCTGTGCTCTATCCACTGCGCCACCTAGCTGCCCCCCCACCTGTACACTTTTAAGGGCAGTTTTTTCATAATAAGATTTTTTCATTGAGTTTACAGGGACCATCAATAAGGAATAGCCGAGACACAAGGGCTTCCTCACACACATATGAAAAGAGGAAAGTGGCTGAGGTGGTTTGGGGAAAGTACGCACACATAGCCACAGAGTCAAAAAAGAAGACAAAAGGCACCATGCAATGTTGCCAGGTCTGTTTATGTTTCTGCAGAAACATGGACTGAAAGTATACTTTCGCAACTCCTACTCCTTCACACCTATGCTGGAAGAAGGAATCCAAGGCAAACCCCCGAGGTCACTTTTACTAGGAACAGACATGGCTGAAACCCAGAAGCAGATTGCCCAATTTTCTCCAAAGGATGCTCAGGTACGGCCTCCTCCCTGCTGGTCTGGAGCTGGGTCTCCGTTGGGAAGAATGGCAGTTGGGATTTCTCAGGAACCTTTTGATCTATACATCACAGTAACTTGGACAACCTTGAGAAGTCCGTAAATCTTACGTCAGGTTACATCACACTCCCTGCAGGGACATTGATTCCTACACCATTCTTTCTACCTGAGGCATTAAGTCAAGACCTGCAATGGACAATAAGAGAGAGTGACTGATTGCACGTACGTCATATAGTAGCAAGAGCAATGGAGTTTGGAAACGTAGGTCCAACTCATTAGCGATGTGACCTTGGGGACCTATTTTAACCTCTCTGAGACTCAACCCACTTATCTATGTGCTGATTAAAAAGGTTCAAGAGACATAATTTCTGGGTAATTTAATCATTTTATTAATAATGCCAGCATTTTAATAAAAGGATGATCATTTGGCCATCTCTCTCTTGGACCAAAGACAATCATGGTGGCAAACTCACGTTTTATATATCCTTTGAAGAGTGGGTGTTCCCCAGGGTGGGAATCAATCCTGATTGGTTAACAATTAATTAGAGAATGAATATTACAATAAGGGGCTGAGAGTGACATCATGTCACCTTTGGAGAGAGAGATTATCTCTATACCCAGACCACCTCCAGCCTTGGGCAATTTAGACAAAAAGGTCTGTTTCCATTCAAGCTTGATTGAATGGAATTCACCTTAGACTAGAGATTCCTTGTAAGGTTGTGTGGAGTCATATAGAGAGGGTTCACTCAAGCTTCAGACACTGGGGTCTTGAAAATAGAAAAAGGGGGGCTCTCAATCTCCCCCAATTAATAAGCATTTCTCTCATCTATAAAGTGAGGGGATTGGACTGCATAATCTCTACAGTACCTTCCCACTCTTAAGGATTTATGATTCTATGAGTCTAAGAGAGGAGTTAAACATGTGATCCAAACCAGATTAAAATGTAATTGGGGAATGTTTTAAAAAATAAATAAAATTATAATAAAACATAAACAATATTACATTTAAAACTAAGTCAACGTATGGCCCACAGGGATCCTTATGTGTGGTTTAGTGGCCCCTGTTTCTATTTGAGTTTGACACCACTGGTCTAAGGTACCATTTGGTTATTACCGACTGTTAAATAATGAAATCAAGGTTTCAATGCTTCTCTCACTACACCCCACAGTAACTCCCTATTTTGGACATACTGGCCATCTCTCTGTCCCTGATGAGGCAGAAAATCCTTTCTGTGCTCACAGTAAGCAGACTTCAAATCAAATCCATTGGAAGAAAAGGGGAAAATAAGCAAGGCCTGAATATGATTTCTAACCCATAGAAATAACTGGATTAAAACAAAATGACCCTGATGCAGGCTTTATGAAAGGTTAGTGGGCCAGAGACTGGCTGAAGATCATGTTTGATCCACTAAACTGTTTCCTTGACCTTGGATTATAGAATCAGTTGTCTTTGGTTTCCTCAGTGTTATAACCAGAATAGGGCAACTGGAGCTTTGTCCTGGGCCAACAAAATTTAACAACACTGGCAGAGCTTTATCAATGCAGAAACAACTGAACATGGCACCACTTTAGCAAGAAGACAGGGCCACCAAGATGCCCAAGGTGGAGCAGGTAAAAGTTCCCATGATGGATCAATGGGCTCCATCCTGTGAGTGGCCACTGTACTTCTAGCCTGGGTGAAAAGTAAGCCATAGTGAAATGACAATTTTGAAAAACTGGGGATGATTAGAGGCCAAATGAGGGGGAAATACAAAAACAGAATGAAATATGTAGGGATTGCCTACTGACAGTTGAGTCATAGTGCTATATTGTCTTCCTCTTTTTCAGGTTTTTCCCAAATATGAAATGTTCATGAATCGTTTGGCATCAGCTATTGATCCATTGCTGGATTCCTCCCCAGTGGACACAACTGCCTTTCAACATGGATCCCTGTATCAGAGACTAAAGGCCCTCTTCACACTTAAACCCCTTTTACAAGCAGGTAGGTCCCAAAGGTCACACTGGTGGATGAGCTCTGGAGTTAGAGGATTCTACCATTGATGTCTGACAATACTTGTGTGACCTTGGGCTAATCATTTAACTTCCGTGGAGTTTTTTCATTTGGAAAACGAGGGGGACAAACCAGATAGCCTCTGAGGTATTTTCCAGTTCTAACCTTATGTACCTCTGATGACCTCTGCAAAAGCACTGGGCAAATTTCCATGATGCCCAGAGCTTCTAAGAGAAGAGCAAGCATTCCTGATCCTCCTATTCCCTGGGAAATTATCAAAAGTATCGATTAGTCTATAGACCACAACCGAGCAAATTCATACTGATTCTCTGAAATAGTCTAACTCTGAATCAAGGAATAAATGATTGGACCCTGTTAGAGCCAAAAGTATGTAAATGTCCCTCCAAATTAAAAATAAAGCAATAGGATAGCAGTAGGAAAATTTAAAGGATCAAAGATTCAACTCAGTGTCATGATGCTTGTTTATAATGCCAGCTACAGGGAGGTTCAGGCTAATGGATCTCTTGAGCTCAGGAGTTCTGAGCTGCAGTGGGCTGAACCAACCAAGTATCCAAACTAAGTTTAGCATTAATACGGTGAGCCTTTGGGACCATGGCCTGACCAGTGGAATGGGACCCATCAGTAGCCCCTATACTTCCAGTCTGGGGAAGATAAGGAGAACCAGTCTTTAAAATTAAAAACAAATAAAAAATAAAAACATCAAAAATGCATCCATACTCTTCCAATAGTTCTCTTACCTTCAGAGACTAGGGACAGAGTTTTTCTTAGTTTCTCCCACTTCAAGGATCTATTCATTCATTGATGTGGGCATTCCTTTCATCAGTGCAGACAAAATCCCGTGTAACTCAGTAGTCTTTGGACAGTTGCTTTGGCCTTCAGTCATCACACTGACTCAGTTCATGCTGTGCTTCACCAAACCTAGCTAGGCTGGTCTTTTAGCAACACATATGGTGAGTCACTGGGTCCATACTTAACGCCTTTCAAACTTGGAAGGCCCGCTAAAGTTAATATTCCACTGGCAAGTCAACAAACATTCATTAAGTGCTTCCTATGTGGGTACTAGGTGGCGCCATAGTGCATAGCGTGCTGGGCCTGAAGTCAAGAAGACTTATCTTCCTGAGTTCAAATCCAGTCTCAGACACTTACTAGATGTGTGACAGTTGCTTAACCATGTTTACCTCAGTTTCCTCATCTGTAAAAACAACAACAACAATGTGCCATGCACTGTGATAAGTGTTGGGTATAGAAAGAAAGACAAAAACAGTCTCTACCCTCAAGGAATCCACATTCTAAGGGGACAAGGTGTGTGTGTGGGGGGGGATAACATGCAAATCAATTTTATGTGGACTCAAGATGTATGTAGTATAAATGGAAATTAATCTAAGAAGGTATGAATTTGATCTGAGTCTTGAAGGAAGCTGGGAAGTAGACGAGAGGACAGAGAACATTCTAGTCATGTGAGACAGCCGACGCAAAGGCTCAGGACATAAGGTGTCATATGTGAGGAATAGCAAAGCATTGCCTTTGGAAGGCAGGATGCCCCTCACATTACAATGCGGCATTAGAGTGTGACATTAACAGAGGCCTTTCTACCACATTTTGGATAATAATTTCTTTTTTTGTTTGTTTGTTTGTTTGTTTTTGGTCTTGTTTTCTAGGTCTAATTTTAGGAGCACAGCTTCCCCAGTATTACCAAGTTATCACTGGTCCAATTACCAAGGTAGGTGATACTTTGGGCCAGAGGGTTCTATTCCCATCAGAACTCTACAGACCTAATCTCCAACTCCCTAATCTGAGGTAGGCACGATAAAAGTATTCTGGGAGGAGAAGTGATTGCCATTAATTCCTCCTTTCTTTTACTGTCCTAGGTATTAGATGAATGGTTTGAGTCTGAGCCCTTGAAAGCAACTCTTGCCACGGATGCTGTAATTGGAGCCATGATAAGTCCCTGTACTCCTGGAAGTGGGTGAGTGAAGTGATCCAATGGTGCACTTGGTGTGGAAATTTAATTGTTAAGCAAAACTCTGAACTAAAATAATATTCCTTTCCTCTCCCTCTTTTCTCTTCTTCTCCTTCTCCTTCTCCTCTTCACTCCCTCTATTCTCCCTTCCTTGTTTTAAGGACATCTTCTATGTCAAGGTCCCCAACATTTTTCTCTGAGAACAGGTTGATAGTTGAATCCATGAGGTGGCAGTCAGACACAATAAATCCTATTAATGTTATTATTACTTAATGAGCCATTACTGCTTCCTAAGATTTAGGTACTTTGGTGTATACAGGGTGAAAAGAAGGGTACTCTGAAGTAGCCATATTTCCCATGGGAAGCAAGTCTTGACAAAGGATGCTGCATTGGGTTGGTTTTCTGAGCCTTAAAGTATTTAAACTAGGGAGAGATCAGCTGCTTTCCTCCAGGTCAGAAATTCCTGAGGACTGAGGGGAGGGTGGAAACCATGACAAGAGCTATCATCCTTCAGTTAGAATCTGAGGACCAAAGAATTTGAGCTGGATGGGGCCTTAGAAATTATCCTGTCCTGACTAGCTCAGGCTTTGCAATCAAACAGTAGCTTAGGTTACAGTTGTTGGGGCCCTTAATTCAACATCCTTGGCCTCTAAGAATACCTACCTGGGAGGGGGGAAAAGGTCAAAAATTAAGTTATCTCAATTGAGTTCAATTAAACAAACATTTGTTCAGCACCTACTAGATGCTAGAGGGTGCATGGGGTGCTCAAGAGGACTAGCACCTCTGGCATGAGGGCTTGCTAAGCCCTTTTCAGGGCTGCTCATCCATCTTGGGGGGCCACCTGATTCATTCAACTCTCACCTGAGACTCCAAGAAGCCATAGCTTGCACAGCAGCCATACCCCCATAGAACTGTCTCAGCAGACAGGCTAAACCGGGTTGAGGGTAACTGATGGGCCTCAAACCTGTTGATGAGTTAGGGGGATGTTTGCCCCAAAAATGTAAAGATTTGTCCTAGAGGAATGGGCCAACGAGAACAATTTGTTCCAATGGGCCATGAAGGTGGCAGAAAACAGGCACTGTGGAGTACTTGGAGCTTGATTAAACATTGAAGACCCCATGGTCATCCATTGCATCCCAAGCCATTGCCAATCATCGTGACTTTTGTCTTGCCACTGGACTTCAATGACTCTGGAAGAGAGAGTGAGGCTGACAGTTTTGTGCAACTCTGCCTCACTTAAATGAAATTCACCAGCAAGTCAAGACATGACCCTGTGATGTCAATGGTCCTCTTCAGAAATGAAGGACAAACAACAACTGGATGCTAGGCACTGTTGTAGGCCCTGGAGATACAAGGACAAAGGTGAAAAACAGCTCCAGACAGCAAAGAGGCTGCATTTTAATGAGGAATATAAACAAATAAACAGATAAGAAAACACCAGTTAATTAGAGGGTAGAGATTATTAATTCCCTGGATTGATCAGGAAAGGCAGTCAGGAGGGTAATCCCAACTGAAATGTGAGCCTTGAAGGAGGCTAGGAAAAAGAGAGAGGCTTTCCAGGGATGGGCAAAGATCCAGAGAAAGAAGCTGGAAAGTTTATGTGGGACTGGCAAGTTGGCTGGTTTAATTGGAACTTGGAGTTCATTGAAGGAAATAAGATGAACTGAATCTGAGAACAACCAGACTAGGAAAGGGGTTAAGTGCTCACCTGAAGAGTATGTGTTTTATCCTAAAGGTAAATTGGAGCCCCTAAAGATTCTTGAGTAGGGGAGTGACATGGTCATGGCTCAAAATATCTGCCTGTTTTTTACAAATCATGAAGCTTGTGTTAAGAAGGTTATTTTTGGTTTGCCTGACTTAGATCCTCTGATCTCACCTAGTTTCTCATCCTTCTGCTGGTCGATCAAATACTTAGGAGAATTAAACTCTTTTGTCTTGATTTGCCGGCCCCAAAGTTTACTTCTTTAACACCAATATTCTGCTAGTGGTGCTAGATGGTTGTGAGTTATGGAACATGACAGTTTTGTAGGAATACAAGTTCAAGGAAAACACTCCTGGTAGGTATATGCAGATTGTGGTATATTACCAATGCTGACTGACATACAAGAAGGGAAGAAGCCCTATAAGATACAACATAAAAGGCAGTATAACTGGAGAATGATGTGGGCCAGTCAAGTAATATGAAAGACAGTTGACATTCTATTCGCATTCCTCAAGTTATTAAGAGAACCAGAGGAAAGTCTCTTCTGCATTTGATTAATTCTCTATGGAGGATGTCTAGAGATATATGGATAAGAATTACAGAGATGTGAAGAAAGGGAGGGTGTGCATTAATGGTGAGAGTTCCAATGCTGATGAGATCACAGATACCTTTAAATAACTCTTGGTAACCCCACACACACACACACATAGAGGAAGTTAGGTGGCATAGTGGATAGAGTGCCAAACCTGGAGTCAGAAAGACCTGCATTTAAATCCGGCCTCAGACATTTACTAGCTGTGTGACCTTGGGCAAGTCACTTAACCCTGTGTGCCTCAGTTTCCTTATCTGTAAAATGATCTGGAGAAGGAAATAGCAAACCACTCCAGTATCTTTTCTAAGAAAATACCAAATAGTATCACGAAGAGTCAGACACGACTAAACAACAACAATCTCCCCACTAGGTATGTGCTGCTACACCATGTAATGGGAGACCTGGAGGGGAAGAAAGGGGCCTGGGGCTATGTAGAAGGTGGCATGGGTGCCCTTTCTCATGCTATTGCGAAGGCAGCAGAAGCACATGGAGCAAATATCTTCACAGAAAAGGTAAGCTGTTCCTGATGCCCAACAAACCCCCTTATAACTCTCAATTTATTATTCTGATCATGGTTCATATAAAGGTAGAAATGTCTTGGCATATAGCATACCACTGAACCACTTCAAACCTAGGTACACAAAGAGTTAGGAAAGGAACTGGGGATTGAAGTATTGACATGGGCAGCATTTGAATGTACGGGTGATGAAAACTGTAGGTGAAGGCTATGATGAATCCCAAGTGGAAGCACAGATAAGGGTACCTCTGACCCTTCTACAAGAACCCCCGTGGTAGTCCCCCAGAATCCAATACTGATGTCCTTACTTGGTGCCCAGTGGGCCCCTATTCTTTGCTGGTCTTTAGCCTGTAGATAAGGTACAGGTGAACAGCAATGGACGAATCCAGGGAGTTGTCCTAAAGGATGGAACTGAAGTGAGGAGCAAACTGGTGTTGTCCAACGCATCTCCACAGATCACTTTCCTGAAGCTGGCACCCCAGGTGAGAGGCTATGGCATGTGGGCTAAGGCTGAGGGAAGGGGAGAAGGAAAGAGGACAAAGGGCTGAAAAGTAGGTGGCCACCACTGGGGGAAAAAAAGCAGCAAATGATAAACTTTGGATAGTTATTACAGGCAAATTCCAGGTGCCTCCTGAGTTGGAGTTATACAGCCCCTTGACATCTTAACCTTCTGATGATACAGGTACCATTCTATCCCTCGTATGTGCCCTGAACATTTTTTTCTCAAAGAAAGGGATAACATGAAATTCAATTCAATTCAAGCATTTATTAAGCACTTCTGTGGACCAAGCACTGTGCCAGGCACTGGGTATAGAGACAAAAATGAAACAATCCCTGCTGTCAAGAAGTTTGCATTCTACTGGGCAGATACAATATGGATGCAGAGGAGTACATGCAAAATACATACAAAGTAGGGTGGAGGGTGGGGACAACTGGGGAGGATCAAGAAAGGGAACATGGAGAAAAGAGGCCTTATCTATTCTTGGGCTTTGGAGGCCTAACCCTGAGTGTCTTCAGCTCTCTGTTGGTATATAAGCCTCTTCAAAACATAAGTCACTCTATCATGCCCAGTCCCCCCCAGCTCACTGTGTGTGTTCTTGTAGGAGCATCTCCCTGAGGAGTTCATCAAGAGAATCTCTCGGTTGGACACCCAGTCACCAGTCACCAAGATTAATGGTAGTTGTGATACCCTAGATCACAAGGAAATCAGACAGAAAGCAAGCAACCAAATCTCTTCCCTCTATGGGATGTTTCCCATTGACATTGCAAACTTGGGTTTCTTAGAAGCTTAGCTGGAGGGTAATGGCTTAGAAGGAAGGGTCTTTTATTAAATTTCTACTTTAATTTATCTCTTATGATTGTAGTGCCTACTCATTTCTGTTAAAGCAAAATCACTGACATTTTCTACTTCTTTCCCTGGCCTAGCCTCAGGGTCTTGGGAAGTGAAATACTTTTACCCTGATTCTGAGTTCCACTTTCTAGTCTTTTTTTTTTTTTTTTTTTTTGCGTTTTTGGTGAGGCAATTGGGGTTAAGTGACTTGCCCAGAGTCACACAGCTAGTGAGTGTCATGTGTCTGAAGCCAGATTTGAACTCAGGTCCTCCTGACTCCAAGTCTGGAGCTCTACCCACTGTGCCCCCTAGCTGCCTTTTTTTTTTCAGTGAGGCAATTGGGGTTAAGTGACTTGCCCAGAGTCACACAGCTAGTGTCCACTGTCTAGTCTTATGTGCCCTCTACCCACTGAGGAGGGAAAACCAGCGGGGGAAAGAGTTTAGAAAACAGAGACTATGGTCTCCTTTAGTACTACTGTTCTCTTGGCTCACTCTTGGAAATCCACAGTGGCTGTTGACAAGCTGCCCAACTTCCTGGCTATACCAAATGCCACCAATGGTCGACCCCTGCCCCATCACCAGTGTTCCATCCACCTGAACTGTGAAGGTACCCAAGTCCTCCACCAGGCGTTCGAGGATGCCACCAAAGGGATCCCTTCTCACAGGTGGGTCAGTGACTAGGCTGTTTTCCTGAACAGTCTTCCCTACGCCCAAATACAAGGAGAGCCACTTTGTATTTTTAATAATTTTATTAAATGGTCTATTACAGACTTAACATTGAAAACTTGTTTTGTAACTGTTTACATTTGAATTAATTTCAATACATAAAGTATTGTAACAACTTTCTAGTCACTTCTAAGTCCTCATCAAGGTTTTTTGTCTATTCATTATCATTTACTTTTCCTCATTTGTGATCACAGCCAGTGTGTGGTCCATTTTCCTGGGCTGCTTTTTTTCACTCTGCATTATCTCATAAAAATATCTACAGATTTTTCTGTATTTCTTTTACTTGTTGGTATTAATTGCCCTATGGAATTCCATCACATTGATGTACCATTATTTATTTAATCATTCCCTTATCGGTGGACATTTAGATTATTTTCAGTTAGGGGAGAGGGGTGTTTGTAATCACACCTAATGTTGCTTTGAAAACATTTGAACAGAGAGTTCCTGGTTCTGTTTGTTTTTGATAGCACTTGTAGTACATATTCCCAAGTATATGGTTAAAGGGTATAATTATTTATATTGTTTTTACAATGTACTGCCAGATTATCTTTAAGGGAATCTCTCTAAAAGAATAGCAATTAAGGCCTAATTTATAATGTAATAAAGTCATTCATTCAATCATTCACTCATCAAACATTAATTAACGTTATCATTTCTACCAATTTTGCCATCTATAGCACCTCTCACATCCACCCCCTCCTCTCCTTCCTCACTACCCCCCGCCCGCCCCAGCTGCTAGCTTGTTGTTCCTCAAAAACTGCTCAGTATGAGGTTTTTATTTGCCTAGGAATGTACCTGTTTGTCTCACCCAATAGAATGTAAACTCCTTGAGGGCTAAAACTGTTTTGTATCTACCTGTGTATCCCGAGCACTTAGCAATGTACCTGACTCATGGAAGGTGCTTCATGAAAGCATATTAACTGGTTGATTGTTTAAATTTCTCTTTATAACTTGATTCATAGTTTTTTTTGACTACTCCCATCATTCCCATAAATAGGCAGGATAGCACAGTGGAAAAAACAGTAGGTTTGTTATCTGTGGACCCAAGTTCAAATCCAGATTTTGTCACCTGCTTTAGGCATGACCTGTGGGCTTCCATTTTCTCATCTGTATGGAAAGGCTGTTGGACTAAATGGCCCCCTTAGCTCCCTTTCAGTTCTGTATCTATGATCCTATAATTATATTTATGACTTTTAATACCTTGACTTCTTAATTCCCCAACTTCCTTAACTCTGACAGCTTTCATATACCCCACTTCAATTATAGCACCACCTCCCAGGTCCTGGAACTCTGCAGCTCCAAACTCTAACTTCAGTCTCCTATCCTTGTACCTTTCCCATTCCCTTATTAAACTGTTCTTTCTCCTAATGGCTTCCAGACCTCTTCTCTCTTCCATCCACCCTGTCGTTTTTCTTTGCCTCTGGTTTCATTTGCCTCTATAACTACTCAAGCAATTCAGAGATTCATTAGCCACTTTTCTATAATCATTAAACCCTCTTTTTCTATTCCTAACCTGCTAATCCTCAGCCCTGGGCAACCCCCCTCCAACCAATTTCTTCCCTCCTGGCCTGAACTGCCAAACATCAATAGAAAAAAAAGTCACCAAATTGTGCTGATTTCACCCATTATAAATTTATGGTGCATAACTTCAAGTGGGCCCTTACAGTTGTTCAGCAATCCTATTCAGCTCTTACTGATTCTTTATATTATTCCCCACAGCGAGTATTTCAAAGCTTTTCTCTTTTCCTCAAGGCCCAACACTCCTCCCCCCAATCCTCACCTAGTAAATTACCTAGCTTCCAATTTCATCAAGAAGATTGAGGCTGTTTGATGGGAGCTCCCTCAACCCCCTCCCTCCTTACTTCAAAATTTATCAATATCTTTACCTGTTATCCTCTTCCCTCTTTTCTCAGAGTTTGAAGCATCCCTATTCTTTGTCAAGTCTCTACCCTGTGTCCTTGATCCCATCTGCCTTTCCCTTGTCCAGGACCTTTGGGCCTTCTGTCATCCCCTTTCCAATCTAATCCAGCCCACTCTGATCCAGCCAGCATTTATTAAGTAGCTACTACATGGAAAACACTGTACTGGCTGCTGGGGATATAAAGAAAAAATGAACTTGTGTTCTTCTATTTCTCTCATACATCTTCAGTCATTTCTCCCTCTAACCTGATCTCTTTCCATCTTCCTATAAATGCGCTAACTTCTTGCCCATCCTGAAGAAGTTTTCCCTCTGCCCTTCAACCCTACTAAGCTACTGCCCATGTATCTCTTCCCTTTTACCATCAAACATTTAGAAATGTCGTCCATTACTTCCTCACCACCCACTTTGTCCTTTACTGCTTGCTACCTGGCTTCCATCTTCACCACTCTGTTGAAACTATTTTTAAAAGGTCACCATTGGCCTCCTTCTTACCCTAACCAAAGGTTTTTAAATAGCCTTTGTTCTTCAGGACCTCCCTCATAACTTTTGACTCTGTTGACCATTGGGAAATCTCCAGTCATACTGAGGAATATCTAGCCACTAGACCCAGATGACTTTGGAGGAGAAAATGACGCTGGTGACCTTGTACGGCCCTCCCTCACTCAAATCAAAGTCAATTGCAAGTCATGTCCTCATCTCCCTGATACCATGGTCCTCTTTGAGAATGAAGGACAAACACAATGCAACACAACAACTCTGTTGACCATCCTCCTTCTGAATAAACTTTGTTGGTTTCAAGCAATGTTCTGTTTCTCATTTCACTTCTCTAACCCTGTTTCCTTCAGTGCATGACTCTTCTTTCTCAGCTCTTTGATTTTGATCTTCCTTAAGGTTTTGTCCTTGATCTTCTCTTGCTACATTCTCTTTCTTTTGTTCCTTTGAGTTGATAATCACCTTTACTCAAATGATTCACACGTTACTATCTCCATCCCTGACCTTTCTCCTAAAGGTCAGATGTGACTTTCATACTGTCCATAGGACATCTCTACACATATGTCCCAACAGAATATAAACTTCAATATAGGCCAGACTAGACTTATAATTACCCTAGGTTTCCTTTAAGCCTCAACTCAAGTGCCACTTTCAAGATGACTTTCTTGGTTCCCGCAGTTGTCAGTCACAGTGTACTGATTTTATACATAGCCTCTAGTTAGGAATATGACATATCCCCCTCCCGGTAGATTGTATGTTCCTTGAGGGCAGGGATTGTCTTGGTTTTGTATTTGTATCCCTCAGTGCCTAGCACATAGTATGAGCATAACTAATGCTTATTTGCTTACTGATTGATCTTTTCCCCAAACCCTAATTGGCAACATAATTCACCTAAGCTTTAAACCTTGGCATTATCTTTGGTTGTTCCCTTGCCTCCATAAATCCTGTCAGTTGTTAAATTCTAATAATTATAGCTCCATAATATCTCTTGAATCAATTGTCTCTTCTCTGTTCTTCTTGAGCTCTCTTGTTGACCTCCTATTCTAAATGGCCCTTTCTCATCTCTTGTTCACATCTATCTATCTATCTATCTATCTATCTATCTATCTATCTATCTATC